TCCGTTGCGGATCCGTTCTGCGGATCTCCGGGCGTATCCGCCGCGTATATTTTTTGCTATGTGGGAAAGTTATATTAGGAGAATGAAGTCGTAATAAAATCAAAGTCAAATTGAAAAATGCGGCAGAAGAAGAACCTTGTTTTTCAATATAAAACCAAAAATAAGAAAACGAACAACAATTTTCTTCATTATTTGCGCCTCCGGACTGAACCAGGACTGAACCGGGACTAAAGGAGGTCTGAGACCAGACCGGGACTGAGACCAGGACTTAGACAAGGACTGAGTCAGGGAACAAGACTGAGACCGGGATCAGACAAGAACTGAAAACGGTTCAGTCCTGGTTCAGTCCGTATGCGGCGCAATAGTCCCGCATCGCATTTTAAGTCACGGAAACGCCATTTCCCATTTCTGTGACTTAAACCAGAACTAAACTACTAAACCGTTTTCAGTCCTGGTCTGGTCAGGTCGGAAAGTATGAATGATACACGGATTCTTCTCCTTTACAAAATGCTCCAAATTCTCCATTCTCCACTCATTCATACTTTCCGAGCAGCCGATATTCTCGTAATATTATGACTTTATTTTGACTACGACTTTATTCTCATAAAATTACTACTTTATTCTTGTAAGTTTACGACTTTATTCTCGTAAAATTACGACTTTATTCTCGTAAAATTACGACTTTTCTGGCTTCGACTTTATTCTCATAATATTACGACTTTAATGTATTTTTTTAAATGTGAAGGAACATTTGGATTTCAAATTTCATAAACATGACCCCAGTTTTGAGGTAAACACACTGCAAAAACTAAAATCTAGCCAACTTAATTATAACAGGAAGTAACTTAAGTACATTTCACTTGATAAGTAAAATTATCTAATAGAACGTGACCTTTTGTACTATGGAAATACATCTTGCTATACTTACGAAAAACAAATCTCTGCAGTTAAAATATAATGGCACATACAATGTCACTACTGTGTAGGCTTGTTCTGAAAGAATGCTTTCAAAACTGGATTTGTTCACACCTCTCGTCTACTACAGTCTGCTCAGATTCTCATTCATGTGTGAAAATGATAGAATCGGTACGTATGTCTGAATCTTCTTGGTCATCTCATTTAGAACAATGTTCAAGTGAATGAAAATGTTCTGCTGTATAAGTAGTTTGTCAGTAGGGGGCGGTGTTTCTTCCAGAAATATTCATTCTACAAATCCAACTCACTGGTCTCCGTATGGGATTGAATTGACCACCATGGAGACTAGCAGAAGACGGCACAAACCAAGTTATATTTCAGATCTGTGAATAGCCAACCCCACTCACAATAAGAATGTAAGTGAAATGCATGTTTACCAAGACACTTTTGAAAAATAAAACCACCCCTTATGAAATACTATATAGATCGCCATTAATGCTGTACTGTGGAACATTCAAGACAGGAATAAAAGTTCATAGTTCCCGTTTATTAGTGACATACATAAAAATCGACAGCTCAACCGGTGTTTTAAGACATTTTAATAAGTAAAAATTCTTTGATTGGCATTATTAATACATTAAGTGCACAAACATTACATACCACATATAAAATACAATAAACATCACTAACCCTATTCAAGTATTTTCTCATATTATTATCCCATATAAAAATAGCGCTAACGTAGAGTAACTTTTTAAATTTCAGTGCCATTTTCAGTCATAACCATTACATAAGCAGCATGTAGAAGTATTCGTCTTTGTGTGTAGTATTATTTAAGCCCGTGACACCTCCAGCATCTCCTCCACGGTCAGGAGTTTCTCCCTGGGCTTCCCCACGGCCTCTCCTCTCCGGCTCTCCACCTGGTCGATCTTCTCCCAGTCAGAAAACGTCACTGGTTTTATCCCTGAAGAATTACACCAATATAAATACATCTCTTAAAAACAGCTCTTACTATTTTGCATCTTCGACAATGTTTGCTTCGTCAAAAAACACTTAGTTATTTAACTTAGAAAGAAAAAAAAAACATTGATGAGAGGGTGTGTCTAAACATCTGACTGGTAGTGTATGATTAAACACCAGTCAAAAGTTTGGGCATGCTCTCTTTGCTTTTTTTTTTCTTGCAGTTAGAACTCTCTGCTTTTTGCTCCCCGTTGAAAGCAGCAGTAGCAATCACATTACCAAAATTTTAGCATCGTTGCACTGGCTTCCTGTTCATTTTAGAACTGATTTTAAGATTTTATTGTTTGTTTTTAAAGCTTTGGATGGCCCCACAGTACGTCTAGGACCTCATCCAGATTTACATCCCTGTGCGCACTCTGCGGTCTGAGGGCCGGCTCCAGCTCGTGGGGCCTAAGACGAGACTTAAAACCAAGAGGACAGGACCTTCTCTGTGACCGGCCCCAAACTCTGGAACACTCTGGAACACCCCCCCCTCACGTCCCAACAGCCCCACAGTTGAGAGTTTTAAGTCTTGTCTTAAAGGTTGTATGGAGGATTTTTTTTTGTTTCAAGTTGTCAATGATAGCATTATATAGGTGCAGTAGCCTTGTAATTATGATGACCAAAAAAAAGAGAATAAAAATTCATCAACTCTGGACGTGGTGGGGCCAGCTAAACATTTGTCAATAGATAACGACACTGCCTCGTTATCTGTTAGCTGACAGGCTGTCAATCAATCTCCCTACGTTTCTAGCGTAACTGACTTGCCTGCGCGCCGCCGGTACGTAGTTTACGTACGCCTGTCACGCAGTCCACAGACGCAAGCCGCACAGACGCTGTTTACTCCACCAACGCAACAGTTCTTAGCGGCTTTTTTTTGACCTATATCTTCCTCGCAGTTCGCACAAAGTTTGTTGCAATGGCGACAAGAATCCAGGAGCAGTTAGCCGCAAAAGAAAGTCCGTTTTTGATGTCGCTGAAAGAAGAAGACAAGGGGAAAAGCAGCGAAGCCAAACTAAGGTGATTCTTATAGATTCATTCCAGCGATGGCGCGACTGAAGCAGACGCAGGGTCTAAAGACTGACGCATTGGTCGCCAAATTACTCCTGGACAGGTCACTTCTACTTATTATGAAAACGTACTTTATTACCAAGAGCTAGTCAAACGTTTTTCAGGACACGAAAGCGATATCCTATGTCTGAAAACGTAATTTTCAAGGCAAAGAAAGAGTCTGCTTGCTGCTGCGTGTTGTAGCTAGTTCATTCGCACGGAATCTCCGCGCAACCTTCTCTGCACCCCTTTCCTGCTCCTCTCCCCGCTGCCCGTTCCGCTCTTCCCCCTGCTCCTCACTTCTCCGGGCACGGAATCTCCGCGCACCGCTCCCCTCTCCCCTCTCCTCTCCCTGCTCCCTGCTCCCTGCTCCGCTCTTCTCCCTGCTCCTCACTTCTCGTCCGCGAACGAAATGTCCGCACACCCGCTCCCCCCGCTCCTCACTTCTCCGCCTTGCCTAACCAACACTGTAGTTAGTTGTTTACAAGTCATGTGCAGCGCACCGGCTGTAAACAAACCTGTTTCTGGCGTAAAGAGGAGGAGGGAGGAGGCGTTTCTACGTAGGAGCTGTAGGGGAGGGGGGGTGGTTTCACGCATGCGCAACATTTGAAAAAGGACAAACAGTCGCTGGATTTCTCGTTCCTTGGAAAATCCTCTATACAACCTTTAAGAACCACTTTTATTCTCTGGCTTTTAACACTGTGAGTTAAGTGCTCCTGTCTTTGATTTATTTTTATTTATTTATTGGTTTTATTTTCTGCCTTTATTTATTGATTTTATTATTTTTAGTCATTAATTGATTCTGAACATAATTCTGTTGACTTTTTAGAGTTAAATATTTTATATTGCTATGTGAAGCATTTTGGAAACTGTTTTATTTATGAAATGTGCTATACAAATCAAGTTGGATTGGATAAATATTTTTTTACTAAGCAAACGGTGGCTTCTTTGAGAATTTGAATGTAAAATGTATATTTAAAAAAAGTATAATTTACTTTTTCATTTGCTACATAATTAATTTGATGAGTTCCGTATATATATAAAATGTAGAAAGTAAAAAAAAAAAAAAACACTGAATGAGGTGGTGTGTCTAAACTTTTAACTGCTAGCGTATGTTGCCTCTCTCACCTCTTTGGTCCAGCAGTGCTTGGATGCTGTCGGAGCCAGGCTTGCGTGTGGATACGTCCAGAGCTCCAGAGCCCATGTCCTCGAGCAGGGAGCGAGCCGTGTCGAAGCTGCTGTTCATGGTGGTGGCTATGACCCCAGTGGGACCAGTCTTCAACCAGCCGCTCACGTACAGGCCTGCACACACACATGCACAGAGAACATGTTAAGTTTCCACACTTCTTGGGGATACAATACAAAAACTTACTGTACATTCATTTCCTGGAGGCTGATCCTAACCCGAACCACAGTCACTACTTGCCTAACTTTAACCTAAACCCAAACCATAACCTACTACTATTTTATCCTACAGCTTAAATGGCTCATATGATGCCATTTTCTGATCTACTTATAATGTTGTTTCCTCATCACAAACAGACTTGGAGTTGTATTTATTTAATACACAAACCCTGCACATTTAGGCTGAGTTCTGTTCCACCTTATGATGTCATGTGGTAATACAGGAAGTGTTCCACTGTGTTTTTAAACTCCAGGCACCTTCACTAGAATCATTTGGACCATTTTAGCTCTGGACTTGTCAATTTCTACTGCACAAAAAGGTAAAAGGTAGGAAAACTACTGCTTCATGACATCACAAGGTGGAACAGAGGATGCTGAGGTTTGGTGATGTAGACTGTCCCCCCTGAACTTCCACTTTACTGTGGTGGGGGAGTTTGAATACCCGAATGATCCTAGGAGCTATGTTGCCCAGGGCATCATGCCTCTGGTAGGGTCTCCCCTGACAAACAGATCCTAGGTGACGGGTCAGACTAAGAGCAGTTCACAACACCTTTATGAACTGTATAAAATCAAGGACCCCGACATCTCCTGGTATAGTGCAGCTGGGGCCTCACCCTGGAGCCAGGCCTGCAGTTGAGGTTCAAATGCGAGCGCCTGTGGTCCACCCTCCTGTGGGCTCACCACCCGCAGAGGGGTTCATTGGGGTTGGGTGCGCAGAGAACTAGGTGGCAGTCGTGAATGGGTGTCTCAATGACCCAGTCCACAGACACAGCATCTGGCTGTGGCGACGTGGACCGTCACCTTGCTGGGGGGAAAGGAGCCTGAGCTTGTGCGGGTGGTTGAGAGGTTTCTTTCTACAGTGCGAACGAGTGGAATAAGAAGACGAAAGAGCAAGGCAGAACATTTCATAGGTAATATTTTATTTTGTAGGCCTATGATATGAAAAACCAGGACTGAACCTGGAGGAGTAAACCAGGACTTAATCAGGACTAAAGGACTAAACTAGGACCAGGACTACCAGCACTACAGGACTCGTGGGGCAGGGTGTCTGCAAAAGGTGTTTGGGTCGTGGGGTGCGGAGCTCTGCGCCAGACCTTTCGCCTGTGGTCACCCAACAGTCTATGTGGGTGCACCTCCGGGCCTGTCCCGACACTCAGAAACATAACGAAGCCTGGCCCGCTTTGTTGACGCATTTGTTCCAATAGACAGCGGTAGTCAATGCGAGATCTACCATTCTATATATCTATGTGAATGAAATAAAACGCCACTTGGCTTAAAGCTCACAAGAGTCAATATAGGACCTTTAAAGTAGCTCTATTTATGCTACTAAGGTTAGCATAGCTGTTTAAACATAATAAAACTGGATATTTTGTTGTCTGGTTGCTGTGTAACTTAAATAATTGCAGTATTTGTGACTATTCAAATTGCAATTATAACCACAATTGCAATTTGAATAGTGAGTCCAACTGAGATACTGTAACATCTACATAATTAATAACTGTGTCTGTGTGTGTGTGTGTGTGTGTGTGCATTGTTTTGCCTTCTCTAGCTGTTGTGCTTGGATTACACCACTAGATAGCAATGCAGTGCATTTTTTAGGTTTAGAAAAAAGAGTAGCCTTAGGGGCCTTTATTGAATGAGCGTCTCCAATGATAACTCAGGTAAATGCACTATTATTGTCGTATTGTAGTATTTCACTTTGTCTGCTTTGTACCTGGAGCCTGCGTAACCCGGCCCATATCATTAGGGATTATGGCCTTGCTGGGGTCAAAGGGCACGGCCGGGTCTATGGGCAGACTCTTGTAGCCGATGCTGCTGATGACCAGACCACAGGGCACCACTTCCTCCTCTGTGGTGAGCACTGCCCGAGCCCCCTCTCCCGAGCCCTGGAGGTCAGACACAAAAATAAAATGTCAATGAAACAGAGAATTACCCGGCAGGAAGTTTTCTAATTCAAATCTGAGTTCTTTTGTTATTTTTTCTTGTATTGCACAGGTGTTTTTAAGATGCCTTTCATTTATGCTCAGACCTCAGAATGACATTTTCTCTGAGTTTGTGTGTTCCAGTGCTCAAGTCGGAAAAGCAATGACCAGTGCATTACAGTTTATGTACAATAATGACTTGAACTAAAGGTAAAAAAACACAAGTACAATCAATATTTTAACTGTCGGATATCAAAGTTTATCAGTACACACCCACTCGAAACTAGCTCGAGAGTCCAAAATGTTGCCCAAGTTTCAATTTAATTCATTTCTGAATTCAGAACCAGGGCAGTAGACAGGGAGGGACAAAGGGACCTGTTGTCCTGGGCCCCAGGGTGTTCCCAGAATTGAACCCTCTTCCTATTAATTTATATTAGAGGGGGCCCGTGTAAGGCTTCTGTTGGATAGTGCTAGCTAGTTTGTGATTGTAGTTTTTTGCGTGAGAGAATTGCCTAACATCACAAATCAGCTCATCTGTTGCAGTTCCAGCTAAGTCAGTTCTTTCTAGGTCAGATTGTGGGCTGGGCGTATTTTCAGTGCATGAAAGTGGGGAAAATACAGTAACTTCAAGTCTGATTAATCGATTTCCTAGTTGATGACATCAGCTGCAAAGTATGGATAAAAAGTATAGCTTGTGTACCTCCAGCTTGTTGACAGCCAGTCTGAGAGCAGCAGTCCTGGTTCCACTGGGGTCTGGCAGCACCTCCAGAGGACTCCTGCAGAAGAGGAAGCCCCAGCTCCTGCGGGCTGAGTTCCTCCTCTGCTGCTCCTTCTCCCCGGGTGGCTCCAGGGCCGTCTTCAACAGCAGCTCGGTCAGACGCTTCCTCGGACGCGCCACATCTACGCCAAAAATAGCTCTGTCTCACTCAATTGGAATTTGTACACTTTATTCTTGGACTGTCTTTATCACCTGTGGTTTGATTGACACTGTTTACAGGCCTGCACAGGAGCAAATAACACAACATTTAATTACTGTGTTTTGTTATGCAATAACAGTATTATTGTAATATTTGAATGGGCCCATATTACACTGTCTTCATGCATGTTATAATGTTGTTTCCTCATCACAAACAGACCTGGAGTTGTGTTTTGTTTCATTTACACATGTTTAACACACAAACCCTGCAGATTTAGGCAGAGTCTCTTCTCTCAAATGGAAAATACTGCATTCCTATAGGACACAGGACGTGCTCCACTGTGTTTTTAAAGTCCATACACCTTACCTAAAGTCATTTAGATAATTTCAGCTCTAGAATTGCCAATCTCTACTGAACAAAAGGTAAAAGGTAAAAGTTAACCGTTAAAAACGAGTTGGAACAGAGTATTTAAAGCTTTGGAGATGTAGACAGACTAATAATAAAGAGTTACTCAAACATGTATGAATGAAACAAAACATAACTCCAGGTCTGTTTTTGAGGAGGTAACAACATTATAACATGACTTAAAGCTCACAAGAGTCAATTTTGCGTAATATCGGACCTATTTATTGGACCTAGTCTATTTAACAAACTCATAACATTTCTAGTCACCCATTTTGTCTCTCACAGTGCAAAAAAAAGTGTAAAATATCTGAAGAAGTGCTAATTTCCTGTCAGAGCGTGCAAACAACAGCTAATCTCTGTGGTCAGAAGTGCATTAGTTTAGCGCTCAAGGTTAGCTAAATGAGTTTTATCTGCACAGCCTTCACCGTGCTCTGTGGTGTCACATGTGTCATTTCCTGTGTTTGGCTTCACTTGCCTTTGCTCTATAAGCTCACACAAGTTCCATTCTGTCCAACCACAGGCTCCCTAAACGGGCTCTCTGTGGTTAACGTATATGAGTCTGCCATGCGTCTACTTACAAACACATGCAAAGACTATAACCTTACATTTTGGTACACCGTATTATTTTCAGATAGTTTAAAGGTCCTATATTACACAAAATTGACTCTTGTGAGCTTCTAGTCTTGTTATTATGTTGTTACGTTCTCAAAAACAAACCTGGAATTGTGTTTTGTTTCATTTACACTTCATTTACTGTCCACATCTCCAAAGTCGTCAAGTTGTTTTCAAGTTAATGGCTCCATTTTGAGATTATCCAAATGATTCTAGTGATGTGTGGAGTTTAAAAACATACTGGAGCACTTTCTGTATTACCACATGACATCAGAAGGTGGATCAGAGTGTTTAAGAGAAGAACTCAGCCTAACTATGCAGGGTTTGCGTGTGTGTGACTCCGTCACAGTGTGAAACATGAATTTGTGAATGAACGTGACTGAACGTGACTGAAACAAAACACAACTCCAGGTATGTTTGTGATGATATACAGAGATGTTTTTATAAGAAAGGAGCCTTAAAGTTTGCCAGTTTTGTCTTACTCAAGCTTCATACCAGTGTCTGGTGATGCTGATTTATTTTTAGTCGCAAAGAAGAATGAGCCTCAAATGAATCTCTCATTTGGGTTGCCAGTTTCTAGGGATGCACCAATCACATATGGGTATCGGTTATCACTTATGACTAATTTGCAAGATTAGATATCGGCTTCCAAATATCGGTTCAGGCAATACCCTGGCTGAACATAAATTGATGTAATAAGACCATTTACTGATTGCAGCCAACGCAGAAAGTCTCATGATGTTTGAATTTGTATGTATTAAGTTGTTCTGTAGTTAAAAAACAAGAACAGGACACTTTCAGATTAATTTTGTCTTATTTTATTTTAGTTTCAAGAAAATAAATTCTTGTAAAATGTTTTCAGCCTCTGCATTGGTATGGGTAGATATCGGGGATTGAAATATCGTAAAATCCGGACTATTGAGCGCACCTGAATATAAGCCGCATCAACTAAATTTTAACAACATTTAAAATTGAACATATATAGACCGCACCTGAATATAAGACGCAGGTGTCCACGTCTTCAAGAACGTTATTAAGTTTGGGCCGATTTTATCGCCTCTGAAAGTTTTTGTCATCTTTTGCATTGAGTCAGTTTGTCACGTCACTATCGGCTCACTGATGTCGAGCTCACGTGCAGCAGCTCGATTTCCTTCTTCCACAGTCACATCAATTGCCGTTAACTTAAAAGCTGCATCATCTGCATTTCTTTGTGGGTTTTCCATGAAGATGGTGTGTGCATGAAGCGCAAAATGACTGTTCAAAACACAATCAGATAGCATCTTCCTTGGTACTTCACCCCGTCTCTCCCTGCGCTCTACGGCGCATGAGTCCTGCAAGAGCCACTGTCCTGTCTGTATCATGTCAGTGTCTTGGAAGATTTGAGCAGACTTCAGACTCTCTCCAGGGCGGGGTTAGTTCTATCAATCAGGTATGAGTGGATGTCCAAGAAGAATGAAGTTTGAGACATTTTTTTCTCGTCATTTCTGCAGATGGGTAAGACGTATCATCCTCACTGATGTTAATTTAGCATCATAACTTATTTTATCACACGGCGACAAACTATTTGAGTGCACTGACAATATCTCTAGCTAGTGTAGCAACTTCAGCATGAGTGCAGCGGCGTTTTCTGCACTCAGGCTGCAGAAAACAAAGAATCCGTCCATATATTCGCCGCATCGTTTTATTAGCCATAGGGTTCAAAGTGTGAGAAAAAAGTAGCGGCTTATAGTCCAGAATTTACGGTACATGCTGGATTGATGCATCACTACCAGGTTCAGTGCTAAAATCATGTTGGTTTGTGTAATCCCCAGTGGTCCAGGTAGGTTCCACAATGGTCCACGGGCTTATACTAGTCTATGAGCTCTTATACTTGCTCAAGATCATTCTAAAGCTATTCAAGAAAGGTTCATTCAGTTAAATTTCAGTATTGACTAGCATCTGATTTTCAATACTTTTAACAACCTTAATATGCCAGCTAAGACACTGGCAGTTCAGTTGTGATTGTAGTACCTTTTTTAAAACAAACAGTGAGAGCGCAGGCTACAGACAGTCCCTCTTAAAATCTTATATGTGCCCAGAGTGCAAGATACCTTTAAGTGCTTCAGCGATGCCCTCAAAATCAGCTGCCACCATCTCAGGTTTGGTCCCAGGCAGGTTCACCATTTCTCTGAGTTCCTGGTAAGCAAAAAAGTATTATTATTATTATTATGCAAAACAACTTTCTCCATCTAAACTCAGACAAGAAAGAAGTCAGAGAGACAGTGTCATCAGTCGCCGGTCTCTCTCTAAAACCTTCAAATCAAACTAGAAATCTTGAGGTAATAATGGACCCAGACTTGAACTTTAACATTCACATCAAATCAATAACATCTACAGCCTTTTACCATCTAAAAAACAGCAAAAGGTATAGTGTCTAAAGCAAGCGAGACTTATCCAGTAGGTTAGACTACTGCAGTAACAGACCGTGCATTTCACACCTAAGCCTTCAGTAGTGCTCTGTCTGAAGCAATCCACTCCTCAATAACTATCTTATGGTTATAAAAGCTGTCTTATTATACAGAAACACAGTATAAAGAGCCGGTGCATCACAAATAGATAACTTCTGTAGCCACAATCTGTAGTGGGCATGGTACGCGGGGGTACACTGTCCACCCACTTCTCCTGACGTGAGATATAAAAAAATAACAATAAATAATATAAAATAGCTACAACTTAAATGTCAAATTGGAGCTATTGGCAACGGTGAAAACAACCTGCATAGACTCATGATATCTGCACTACTCTCCTATAGTGACCTGAACCAGGACTTGACCGGAACAGCTCTGAACTGGAACTGGACCAGCACTAGACCAGGACTGAGTGTCGGGACGGGCCCCCACATAGACTGTTGGGTGATCGCAGGAGAAAGGACTGGCACAGAGCTCCGCGCCTCTAACAGAGGTCAGTGCAGCCATCGCCCGATCGAGCTTTGCAGACACTCTCTCACTCACTCTCTCTCTCTCTCCAGGGTTGGATCTGGTTTGGACCTGGTTTAGTCCTGGTTTAGTCCTCCTGGTTCAGTCACGAATCACGTACCCCCACTTTAAAACTCCCCACTAAACACTGGTCATTAATAATCATAAAACACAGTAATAATTATTTGGATTGGCGTAGCCGTTACAGATGCAGTTTGGTCCTTTGGCTGGTTCGCTCTCTGACTGTCCAATCCGAGCATCAGAAAAGCTCTGAAAGGAAGCCGACAGACCATTTGAAATTATTTAATAGTAATATAATTAACACCAGTTTTTGATTCCGATATTTTTTTAGGCCAGCACAGGAGGCCGTGCAGGGTCTGACGGTCCACCACTGGACTACTATAACGACCTTGCTCACTGTGAGACAGCTGCAGTACATCCAAAAAACTGCTGCTCGGGTCCTGACTTGAACCAGCAAGTACGAGCACATGTGTCCTGGTCTCAGGTCTCTGCACTGCCCCCTGTGGCTAAGAAACTTTAAAGCAGCTCTGCTTGTACAAGTCTCTCCATGACCGAGCACCAAAGTCCATCTGTGACATGTTAGTTCCATATGAACCATCTGCACTCTGAGGAGCTCAGCAACCTCAGCAGTCTCCTGCTGGTGCCCAGAGTCACGACTAAACACGGTGAGTCAGAGTTTTGATTTGTTTGTATTATGATTTTAATGTATTTATTCTGTTTGAATTACTTACAAATAAATTTGCCTTGTCTTGTCTTGCCTATTATTATTGTCTTGCCCTTATCTAAGTAAAACCAGCTTAACAACATTTTACAAGCTGCTTAATTGGTGTTTGACAAAGCACTGACTACAGTTTATCTCATAATCATCTTGTGTTGATCTAACATGGGCTGGGTCATTTACTTAACCAAACGCTGTGCCAATAGTAACAAAGAGAGCAAACACCTGCTGTGCCTAAAATCACTCTAAAAAGAATTAATCTTAATAAAATAAACAGGGTGAATTATGCTGATAAAACTAAACAAATAATGGCAAAAGAAAAAATCTTCCATGAATTTGAGCAAAATGTGTCTTGCCCAGGTACAGATATAAGTAAGTAAGTAAGTAAGTCTTTATTTATAGAGCGTTTTTCACACATTTTGGTCACAAAGATGCTTTACAGAGCATTATTCATTCACTCTATACCTGGTGATGGTAAACTACTGTTGTAGTCACAGCTGCCCTGGGGCAGACTGACAGAAGCATGGCTACCATGCCAATTGGCGCCATTGGTCCCTTCGATCACCACCTCCAAGCACACACCAATTTCATACTAGGCAAATATTGTATAAGCAGCTCTTTCGATCAAAATAAGTGCTGTATACTGTCTGCATCTAATTATTAAGCTTTTTATTGTCCAAAAATCAAGAAGCATGCTAGTTGTTATTATGTTTATTGTGACTGCTCCATGCTGGTCTCTGAGTTGTTAAAATGCGTTTAGAAAATCAGTGTTTGCGTGCGCTGCGGGTGGTGCGGACTTGTAGTTTACTGAAGTCATGCTGGGACACCCGAGTGGATTCGTGTATAGGGCGCTCTGGATTGTGGGGCGCACAGTCATTATAGGCATTGGGTTGGAGGCTTAAGAATGCGCCTAATAGTCCGGAAAATATGGTACTTCTGTTTTTAGTGAATATACCAGCTTGTCAAAGCCTGATCCCGTCAGATCTCAGAAGCTCAGCAGGGCCGGGCCTGGTTAGTACTTGGATGAGAGACACTGGGAAAATCAGGTGCCAGAGTCAGGTGACTGTTGTTGTGTCCTTAGGCAAGGCACTTCACTCACATTGCCTAGTATAAAAGAGGTGTGTGTGAGTGAGTACTGCGGGTGGTTGGAGGGGCTGAGGGCACAGATTGACAGCCTTGCTTCCATCAGTTTGCCCCAGGTCAGCTGTGACTACAATAGTAGTTTACCACCATTAAGTGTGGAGTGAATGAATAATGCTCTGTAAAGCATCTTTAAGTGTCCAGAAAAGTGCGATATAAAACTGATGTATTATTATTTATTATTATTTCACATTTTAGAATAGAATAGAAAGCCTTTATTGTTATTATACAATAGTATAATGAAATTCAGAGCTGCTCCGTCAAAGTGCAAGTATTAATTCATTAATAAATAAATCAAATTAACAGTTGTCATTAAGTATGGTGACAACTTTGGGGAAGAAGCTATCAGATAAGATAAGAAGATAAGATAAAAATACTGCTTTTACAATAATCTGTCTACAGCACCAGTTCAATAGTAACAGCTGCTGTTGTTGTGTGTGCATACATCAGCCTCAGTCTCTGTGGTATGCCTCTTTACATAACCTCATCACTTCCTGTACGTTTGGTGGTTTTCAGACAGAGAAGTATACTGTCAAGCTAAGACACTACTTAGATAAAGTCCCTGGAGTTTTTTTTTTTTTTTGGTTAAAGCAGACCTATTCTGCAAAGTAGTATTTTTAAAGATTTAAATCATGTCAGAGGAGTTTCCTTTGAAGTTGTATTTGGGGTGATTTGTGCATTCTGAAGATGCTATTTTGCCGATCAACCCCAGTTTTCACCACCATCAGCACACGGCCACCGCTCTGCACTTACTTCATTCTCCAATTTTCTTTTCTTAATCTGTGAAATATGTAGTTTTCAAACTCATCAGAGCATTCGTTTTTATTTAGTTGTTTAAGATATTGTGATTTAAAATGTGCAAATTATAACATAATATTCACAAGTGATTATAACTAAAGAGCAGACAAAACCATAATACGGTAGGTCTTCTTTAAAGTGATGTTTCTGTAGAGAACAGGGTGCATCCCTGTTCTTTTAATAATACGCTTTGGAGTTTTCCTTGTTAGGTTAGATTTTTTTCCAGAGTAAATATTGTGGTGACTCTTCCCACTGTGAATAAGTCTGCAAGTGACAAAAGCTTTATGTTGCTAAAAATATGGTACAGATCCTGTAATATTTTCTGTGTATTTGAGCAAAATTATTCTTGTATCAGAATATATGAACATTTTAAGACCAAAACGACGAGGCTCAGTGCAGTAGTTAGAGAGAGGGGGCAACAGTTTTTCAGTATAAAGTGAAGTAAAGTCGATGGACCCGAAGTGTCCCCATGAACACTTCCTATTTGGAACTGTGTTAACTGTGTCCATTTACAAACACAGTCTATGCTTTAACTACATGCCTCCTTACCTTTATAGTACAAGCCACCTGCAGCGGCCCTCTCCTGCCCACGATCAGAACTCTGCTCACACGACTCTCAGCCAGGGCCTCCAGGGCTGGGGCTGTGATGTCAGTTTTCTGAAAAATTAATCAACAATCCACATTTATAATATGGCTGATCTCTGGTTCAGCTGGCTGCTTTGCTTGACTTGGCAGTAGCGTGTTCAACGGTTAAACCAAGACAGAGGTGATGAGTGAAGAGATGACTTTTAAATCTACTAACTGGAAAGATATCATAATTAGCTAGTGCTAAAATATTGTACGTAAATGAGTCATAATGTCATGAAACTATTTGGAGAACATTACAGTCAGACACTCCTGTATGTGACTAATTTTACAAGACAACCAGTAATAGGGAAAAATAATGGCAGGCCCTGCAGCCAATTTTGAACCACGAGTGGAAAAGTGAGTGAGTATTGACGTGTTAGCCCCGCCACTTGGGGATTGTTTATCACTGTAATGGTGAACTATGACAGTGGTTTTTACGTCTTGGTAACAGATGTCACTAGTAGTTGCTTCTATAATGTTCTCAGCTAACTAAAGGCTGCCAAACACTACAGGATTTTTTGGCCTTAAACAATTTTTAAATGTGCGACAAAACGCGCATACCACAAATCTTATGAGATTTTAAATCTCCGATCACAAAGACTACAGTGGGATATGTCTGAGCACCACAGGATATAAAGTTGTGAGCGCGATCGCGTCAGCTGTTTCCTGTCTACAGTAAAGCCAGTCAGTCTGAGATTCTTAAAAGATCAGAGCACTGCACTTCTAGTTTAGATACAAGTCAAAACTGTGTTATTATTTGTGAAATGTGATACTTGGTGGTTATGATCTGACAGAGCAGCTCAGAGTCACACACACACACACACACACGCCCACAAGGAATGCAGTAGCTTCATAATCGCACATGAAGACACAAAGTCAGGTCACGCCTCCTCAAACTCAGGGAGAAGCAAATCGCAGCCAAAATGGGCAAAATTCTCCTGTAGTGTGAGGTGGCCTTAAATGTTTCTGAAGATGTACTGATGATACTTTTCAGCCTCATGCTGCTTGTTCATACTGCATGTAAAGGGCATTTCCATCATGGAGAACACCGATGAGTTTTTTGTTAAATGCACTGAAAAGTACACATTATAAACTCAAGAAAAAACGAAATAGATACAAAGTAACTAAATAAATTTGTTACCATACCTGTACTTGTACTTGTAATTTGACTTCTTTAACAGCCTAAATCAGCTCACCTGTTGTAATTCCAACTAACTTGCATTAAAGCAAAACTCAAATGAAATTCTAACTTGAGTAAGAGAGCTTCAGACAGAGAAGTGCATTCATTTAGCTTCACCTCCTCAAGGAATGTTGATGATATCAGCTTAGGGTGACCAGATTTTCAAAATAAAAAAGTGGGACATAACGGGTTTGGGGTGGTTAAAATTGTGAAACAAGTGCATAATTAAGGAAAATTGTTATGCTCTCGGCACTAATGTGAGTCAGAAGAGCAGGGTATCCCCAGGCTTAACTACCCCAAATTTAAGACTTTTTAAAACCTTTTTAAAACCACAAATGAAAATTAAAACATCCCATCCATTATGCGGGCGAAAAACAACAGATCCAATTCTAATAATGACCAACCAACTACGGTTCTATATCTAGAATCTTAAAGCCACTAAGGATTAAACCTACACTTCTCCATGATCCATCCAACGTCTTCCTCCACTCTACTGATTGTTTACTCATAGCTGCTGGTGCCAGAAACCAAAGTATTGTTTGTGCATACTCCAAATTCAGACGTTCATTCACGTTACATAATCTAGTTTTTTTTTCTCCTCCCTCCATTTAACACTGCACTGCAGCCCGGTTGAGTACACAAAAAAAATAGGCTAATGATATTTAAGACCATTGTGAAAAAAATAAGACTTGGACAACATAATTTAAAACTTAATTTATTACCATAAAATTTAAGACCTTTTTAAGACTTTTAAGACCCCGCAGCTACCATGGTAGAGTCACATTTTCTCAGTGTTTTGGTCATTTTTAAGCAGCTTTTCTGTATTTTACCGAAACAATTGACAATTTATACCTCTTTTTACTGTTGATAGGGATCAGATTGGTCAAAAATAGGGACACCTGGGACATTTCTTGTATAAAACTGGGACAAATCACTGGTTTTGGATAAATCTGCTGGGGCAGGGGACACAGGATTTAAAACTGGGTCTGTCCCTGGTAAATGGGGACGTCTGGTTGCCTTACATCAGCTGAAAAGTGTTAACTGAGCCAACCATCGAAGAAACTTGCAGATAAAAGACATATGTACCAAATATATTCTACAGTAACAGTTAGAATTCATACATTTCTGACCTTTAACATCTGAACAGGAGCGAGCAGAATGCGTGCTACGTCCAGCGCGACGTTCCCCTGTCCGAGGATCACTGCAGTGTCACAGCTCAGGTCTGGACTAAGCTACACACACACACACAGTAGGATCAAAAATACTTCAAAAAGTACCACACAATCTCAAGTATTGTGTACCTGTCGACAGCTGGGTAACCCGTTGTACCAGCCCACAAAGTCCTTCGCCGAGTATACTCCATCTAGGTGCTCCCCAGGTACTCCCATAGTCCTGTTGCCCTCTGCGCCATAACTCTACACACAATTGCATGTATGAGCATTAGCATTAAGTTCATTATATTTGGGATTTTACAAAACATTTTACACTTTCTTTCCCAGTCTGGTCATTTTTTTTGACTTTCTGGTTGGAAATCTTGACCTCAAACTAGGGCATACCATAACTGTTACCTACCAACTATGAAGTGGAGTAGGACAAAATTCATCTAATGTACACAGAAATTATTATTTGACAAATAAAACTATAAGAAAATGCTTTTACTTTGTTGAAATCATGTTTAAAGTATCAGAAATGTGAGTAGAAACTTTGGACAGAATTCTCCCAGTGTGATGTCATTGATACTGAACTGTCTGCTTACTGTAATTTTTACATATTTTACATATTTTGCAACTTTTCTTCACAAACTGCTTCTCAGTTGGTTCAAAACTATAATTTATATGCGCCAAATGATGTAGAAAATTAGAGAATCATCAAACGTCATAAAAGACTTTAACTGTCAGCAAATTTTTTTGACCTGGTCTATGGTTAAAGAGCCATTAAACCCTCTTCTGAAGCTTTAATCTTACTACTCTTTATTCAAAATCTGAAAAATCCTCCAGAGTGGGTGGTGCCACCACTGGCCACATCATGGTGGCCGGTGGTGCCAGGTGGGGGGACTCACTGGCGGCCGTTTGTCCAACCTGAAAACTCAAGTGTCCTGGCCGTAGTTGATCCTAAAGAGGCCAATACAGACACAGCTTTGACCCAAAAAGTCAGATTTTTAACAAAAATGCACGAATATGCCAAAATAAGGCCAGGGACAGGTATACACAGATAATCAGTCGGCTGATTTTGGTGTTTAGTGGCTCTTTAATATCTCTGTAATAGACATTTTTCACAATGTCTTGAAGTGCTGCAATGTAGAGTAAACGTCACTCACATTAATGTTTTTCTATGGCAAAATATGTGAGGAAATGTGTATTTTCCATCGGCTTCATAAATCTGCCCCATCACCAAATCTTCATCCAACAAGGTCGACAAGGGACATATTCTGTCCATGAAGAATTTATCCATCAAGGTAAGAAAGACCAAAACTTAAATGTGAACAATGACAATGCATTAGTGAACTACTCCTGAGCAAAACTAACATTATGGTCATGAATGAAACGTAAGTAATAAGTACCATATTTTCTGCACAATTAGGCGCTCTGGATTATAAGGCTCACTGTCATTGAATGGTCTGTTTTCGAACTTTTTTCACAAATAAACTGCACCGGACTTTAAACGAAACACAACAGCTGGATGGTTCAGTCGGCTTTGTTCAGTTGTGGCGTGTAGGGAGGGTGCTGTCTGGGACCGCTGGATTGTTGGCGTGTTCACAGTGACTCAGTTGTTCAGTTGTGTCTAGAAGTGGCACACTGCACTCGCTTTTCGGTTCGTTCCTCCGTTCTGTTCCTCGTCGGCGTGGAGTGATGAGTGTGGCTGTGGGTGTTTTTCGCTGCGCGGTCGCTGTCTGCGCCGTGTGTTTCCGTGTGCTGCGGGTGGTGTGGCTTTGTAGTTTACTGAACTCGTGCTGGGACACCCGAGTGGATTCGTGTATAGGGCACTCTGGATGGTGGCGCGCAGTCATTTTTTGATGGGGTTGGAGGCTTAAGAGCGTGCCCTATAGTGTGGTAAATACGGTAATTCATTAATAAGTAACTTGTTAACTTAGATTAATTCTAGAATTTAAATAAAAATTTGATTTCATGATGCAGATATTACACTAGACAGAGAGATTTGTGCAGATTTGTGTTCTGTTTTATTCATGACTAACATTAGTTTTGCTCAGGAGTAGTTCATTAATGCGGCGTCATTGTTCGCTTTTATGTTTTCGTTTTTCTTACCTTGATAGTTGTGGATAAATTCTTCATGGACAGAATGATGGGGCAGATTTATGAAGCTGGTGGAGAATACTTGAGACATTTCCACAGGTATTTTACCACAGAAAAGCATTAACCGGAAGTGAAGTTTACCCTACATCGCGACACTTCTGGACGATGTGAAAAAGACCTTTGACAATGAACATGAAAGAAAAACCAGCACAGAGTTCATAATTACAGAACACAAACACAACTTATAGCCTACATTCCATATTACACAAATAGAAGTAGGCCTACGGTGAGATCAAACTAGGTTCAAAATGTTCTCAAGCAAATATCGCTGATCACTACTTGTAGTATTTGAAGTGCGTACCAGTACTACAGCGTGATAGGCCTGCCTCAGCTCCTCCATGCTGATGTCCTTGCCCACGTTCACGTTGCCGTAGAAAGCGCATCGGGACTGTTTGGCCGTCTGCGTGAATGTGTTGATGACGTTCTAAAAAAAACCCAAAAGAATAAGAATAAGAGCGTGACACCATCAGCCCAAGGTACTGGTCAGATCTGTGGAGAGGAGACGCCGGTACACAATAAGAATGCATGTTTGTTTAGGTCCTATGTTACACAAAATGGATTCACGTGAGCTTTAAGCCATGTTTCTAATGTTGTTACCTCCTCAAAAAACAGACCTGGAGTTAGGGCTGAGCGATATAGAGCAAACAATATATCTCGATATATTTTGCTATATCTCGATATGTGTACAGGAAAACTCCTGCAAAAACAAATATGCCAAATTCCACAAGGTCTTTTTTTATTGAAGTGCAAGAGGTAGGCAGTTCATGTAGGAACAAAGTGCTTCTGCCACATTTAAGATTACAAAAAAATCCTTGATTACATAAATAATAATTTAACTGTAAAATAAAAGAAATAATACATGTTGCCTTCTTTTCATTCATAAATAAAACAACTCAATTCAAGCTCATCTTTGCATTAACTCTGTTAACTGTACGATAACCATGCTATGGAGCTATGAGGTTTCCCACAATCCACTGCAGATCAAACCCATCGTTTTCAAACACTATTGTATAAGTTACACTGCAACAGATTATTGATTAAAATCTTCTGCATAAATAAACTTTACATTATCAAACTTTACAACATTTAAAGTATAACCACTATAGAACCACTTCAGCCCGTTTGAGATTATAATGTGTTTAATGCAGCTTTGCACACATGTGTTTACGTTTTACAGAAACAAAACTTAAAAATCGCATGGTAGTGAGAAGTGAATGAGACACAAGCAGTAAAATCAAGGAGGCGGGGGCACGCGGGAACGATGACAGAGAAGGCAAACAAGCAAAGCGGCGAAATCAGAATTGAATATAAGCATTATATTGATATATACGATATGTCAAAATCCATATCAAGTTAAAAAAATATCTTGATATATTTTTAAAAAAAATCAAGATATCGCCCACCCCTACCTGGAGTTGTGATTTGTTCCATTCACACTTTTGAGGAATCCTGCATTATTAGTCTGTTTATGTCTCTAAAGTTGAGAATGCTCTGTTCCAATTTGTGATGTCATGTAGTGGTAGTTTTCAAGTTAACATCTACAATTTATCTGGCAATTTCAGGGCTGAAATTATCCAAACGATTCTAGTGAAGGTGTATGGAGTTTAAAAACAGAATAAAGCACTTTCTGTATTGCAACATGACATCACATGGAGCGGAGTGTTTTCAGTCTGAGCGAAGAAAATATGCAGGGTGTGTTAAACATGAATGAAACTAAATATAACTCCAGGTATGTTTGTGATGAGGAAGTAACGATATAACAAAGATAAGAAAATAGCATAATATGGGCTCTTAATGTGCGAAATTCAAGGCAACTTCTCTATTTTGGAGCATAAAAGTACAAAATAAATTCTTACAATTCTTTAAGACTTCAAGAAAAACTGCTGTTACCACAACCACACCCAGCAGACAAAACAAGAATGCAGATGGGATCAAACCTAAAACCGACATAACTATTTTTAAAATGCCTTTCTATTGTCCACAACTTCTACACTACAATTATATGAGTTGAAAGTCGTTGGAAAAGTCCCTCATCTGAATAACCAATCTTATAATTTTCTGGTCTGATAATTCTTCTCTCGGACATTCAAACCAAGTTTCACATTCACGTTCTATTTCAGAAACACAATAGCTGCTGCATTATCTGATATGCAAGATCACACCCGGTCACGTGATCCATGTAGTTATGGTTGTACACTTAATGTTATAACTCATCAAAAACATACCATAAATATGACAAGCAGATAAATGCAGTGGTTAAATCCAGTCTTAATCACGTGCAGCTTTTATCCAGACTCAAATCGGTTTATCTTTTAGTGATTTGGAGCGGGTGATCCATGCTTTTATCTCTACACGTCTTGACAACTGTAGCGTGCTGTACACTGGTATCAGCCACAGTGGCGGAGGGCCCTAGGCGAAATTGAGTTTGTTTTGTTGTTGTTGTTTTTTTGTATTTTCTTTATATTTATTGTCAAGTTTTTTTTCCATTGTTCATGAGACACGCATATCTTTATTTGAATTAGGGTGGACTGGAAACTTGTCTTATTAGTTAGGTCGCCTACTAGATAACCAGAGTTGAAAGCAGTTTTATTTTTTTGCTAGTACAATAAAATTTTTCTTTACATCCACTTACATACACTGGCTCCCCGTTCATTATAGAGTTGATTAAAAAATGTTATTGTTTATTTTTAAAGCACTTCCTGGTCTGGCTCCAACGTACATCTCAGACCTACACTTCCCTACACTCCTTCATGCTCTGAGGTCTGAGGGCCAGCTCCAACCTGTCGTCCCAAAAACGAGACTCAAAAGCCAGGGTAGCCCTGGAGTGACCCTGGGGTGACCGGACCTTTTCAGTGGTTGACCCTAAAATTAGGAACGCTCTCCACCCTCACATTAAGAGTCGATTCTTTTAATTCTTGTTTAAATACACACTTTTACTCACCGGCTTTTAACACAGCATGAGAATTGTGTGGTTCTCTGACTGTCTTTAGTCAGAGAACTGATTTTATTGATGTTATTTGCTATTTTTCTATTTGCTAATTTTAGTATTTTTTATGATTTATTGGCTTGCTTATTTATTTATTTTATGCTTTATTTTATTTAATGTGTTAATTTATATTGTGCCTCCTCTGTGCAACACTTTGGAGACTTTGTGTTGGTAAAATGTGCTATACAAATAAAGTTGGACTGGATTGTATTTTGTTTCATTCATACATGCTTGAGTAATCCTTTATTATTAGTCTGTTTACATTTCCAAAGCTCAAAAAGCTACCTTCTACTTTTTGTTCAGGAGAGATGGGAAATTCCAGGGCTGAAATCAGCAAAATGATTATAGTGAAGGTGTATTGGAGTTTAAAAACACAGTGGAGCGCTTCCTGTATTACCACAAGACATCAAATGCAAGTGTTTTTTTCTGTTTGAGAGAAGAACTCAGTCTAAGTACGTAGGGTTTATGTGTTAAATGTGTGTGATGTGTGTGAATTAAGCAAAACATAACTCCAGGTCTGTTTGTGATGAGGAAGCAACATTAGAACAGATTTGAAAATAACATAACATAGACCCTTTGAAGGTGTTATCCGTCATACTGTCAAAGGTAATTGAGTCCACCAGGCAAAAAAAAAGTGAGGATGTTCGTGCCCTGGCTGCCCCTGGACCACCCTTGATGTGGGTGCTATTGTTATTACTGTGAAATTTCACCAAATGTAAATACTCTGCATACTCTTCCCACCTCCTTGTGGTCGGCTTCCTCCACAGACACCACGCGGGTCTGAAGCCCACCGTCTGCCACTTTACAACACGGAACTTCCAACCAATAAAGACACAACTATAGCAAACCAAATATGATTTTGGTATTTTCTTCAACAGTGATGCAGAAATGTGCATGTAACTTTACTGGTGTAATTGCTTGCCAGAAATCTTCTACAGCATGGCACATAGACTAGGGGTGTGCAAAAATATCGAAATATCGATATATTGTATTGTTTAAAGCGATGATACTGTAAGGTCCAAGCATTTGTGAAGCCATAGTTGACACTTTGCACGCCTTGTTCCACCTTTTAAAATGCCTCAAAAGTAAAAGAATCCACAGAGAGCGATATAAGTGCAGTTAAAAACTTTTTTTTAATGAGCATTCACGTAATTAGGACATACAAATACAAAAAGGGGAACTTTTTAACATACAGGTGACAGGAGGTCAAAAAACTGTTTGGCTCCACTCCCATGGTGCACCTGCACTTGCCTTAAATAAGGATCCATACAGACCACAAAATAATACAAAAAATAAACATGACTTAAGTTAACTTATGATTAACATTAGCATTAATTAACTGAAAGAAAATTGTAAATAGATCAAATTATTTATCAGCAAATAATCAACAAATAATCATAGGTTTAAGCTCCCACAGATACAGTATCGATATTGTGGGCTGCTGTATAGATATATCGCTATATATCGAGTATGTTTGTATGTATTTTACTAAATTAATTTGTTACAGAGCTACAATTTTGTTGTTTGTTCAGAGGAAGAAAACTCATTTATTAGACACATTTGGGATTTTCACTGTTTTGATGATTAAAATGTTTGTGTTTCATATTAACTTTGTACAAGAAGTGGTTTAAGAAAGAGTTTTAGTACCACAGCCATAATTTAGACTTTATTTTTTATTGAACCATATCAAATCGATTTGAAATATATTGCATTTAACTGAAAGTGCACTGTATCGAGATATGTATCGTATCGTGGCTTATGTATCGAGGTATGTATCGTATCAGCAATTTCTTAATGATACACAGTCCTAACATAGACTGTATAAAGAAGTGGGCTAAGGGAGTGTGCCGTCATCCATAGCGTTCGTCTCCAGTCAAATGAAGCTCACCAATGATTGCAGTTAATGGCCAAACACCAGGATCATGGAGAGCGGGTTAATATGAACATTTTAAGAACAAAACGAGGAGCCTGAGAGCAGCAGTTACAAAGACAGGAACCACACTTTTTCAGCACAAACAGAATAGGAGCCAGAATCGATGAAGTCAGAAACTCTGTAATGCAGCCCATGCTCACCTCCTATTTGGAAAGTGGCGGCTTAAATGTGTCTTGCCCCAGTTCGGATACATCAAGCAGGTCTTGAGGTCAAAATAAGTCCTCTGTCTGCATTTTTTTACGTGAGAAACAGGAAGTGCCTGTTCAGCATGTTTTTTGCAGTGTATAATTAGTGTGTTAGAAATGTATTAGGTAAGTAACTGTAAAACTGCAAACCTGTTAAGACCGTAAAATCAAGTAGAGCAGCTCTAAAAATAAAGATGAACTGTCAGTATTAAGACAGTACATTCTGCAATCCTTTCACTGCTAACCCACAAACTAAACAAGACTAGCAGCTCATCTGTTTTCTAATATTTCAGAAGATTATTTAAGATTGGCACAGTTCTGATTCAAAGAACAAACTTACTAAAGAGGATTTCAACGTGTTAAAAAGTATGTCAAGACAGTGAAAGCTCTTGTTGTTAACACACGACAGTTTTCTAGTCTGACCTGTTCAAAAACAATAAATCACTCATGTATAAATCAAACCTGACATAAAGATAATGGGTAACTAAATAACTACATCTAGGAATCAGAATTTAAACAATTAAGGCACAATTTTTCCTCTAAAATTGAAACTTTGCAGAAACACACAACATTACACTGGGGGTAATGTCATGTGTTTCTATGGTGGAATGTTCAGCAGGTACCATGGTGACACAAAGCACAAAAAAGGCAAATACGTTTTCAAATTATTGACTGTAATGCTATTTGATAGAGACTTGTTTAAGGCCATAAAGAGCTCAGATTAAAGTCTGACAAATCCTCAGACAGAGCAATGCTTTCAGTTAGGATCACACCCAAGGAAATGTTGATGACATCGTTCTCAATAGGCTGCGCTCACATGATATCGCAACAATGTAGAATTATTGAAAGTGTAAACTGAAGTGGAGGACAGGTCAAACGTGCTGGGATTATCCACAGGAAACAAAAACAGGCACAGAGTTCAAGGGCAGGATGGTTTCGGTGTCACTGGAGTCCAGGCTTTGTCCATCCATCCAATGACTTCCAGGAAAGGTCCGTCACAAAGTTTCTTGCTCCAAACTTTCTTTCTGCTGCTCGATCACTGTTTTCTGCTGAATATTTCACTACTTGCAGCAGGACAGAGGCTTCTTCTGCAGGAGACATGCGCAGTAGAGTGAAGTGACAGTGGTACAGGAGTATTAGGAGCAGCAAATACTGACACACAAGACTAGAGCCTCTCACGACTGTCAGTGTAAAAATTTGAATACATAAGTCACACTGGAGTATAAGTCACAGGAAACACCCAAACCATGAAAGAAAGTGTGACTTATAGTCAGAAAAATACGGTAAACTTGGTGGTTAAAAGTTTGGATCACGTAATGGTAAACCGAGATGACAAAAAAGCCGGTAGCAGCTGAAGTGTGCGTTTTCTTCAGGTCGATCAGAACCCTTCCACACCCCCAGACATTGAGCAGAATTAAATAAAGATGATTTAACGTGTTTTCCATGTAAACCTCGAAGAAGAATGTTTTAATTCCAAACTATTTAATTCAAAACAATTAATTCAGAAAGAAAAAACATTATGTAAACGTGGCCAGTGTCTGTTAAACAAAAGAACTGTGAAATGAGTTCTTTCACAATAGCTTCAGAATGTGGTGCAATTACTCAGTCCCAAAGACGTGATCATTTTCTTTAAGACATGAGATTAAAGTGGCACGTGTGTGGAGCCAATCCCAAACAAAAAATTAGGAAATAAGTAGAGGTGTTCTGATCAAGATGTGAAAGTGTTCATGGTCAATCCGTGTGTCATTTGTTCTTTTGTTTTTCAAAATAAAACCAAAAATAAGAAAATGAAAAAACAACTATTTTCTTCATTATTTGTCTCCAAAACCAAAATGAAAAAACAGCTAAAGATTCGTTTTTTCAGTTTTCGATTTTGTGTTTAAATGAATAATGGAAAAAATGGATAACAGACTGAACCAGGGCTAAACCAGGACTAAACCGGTCTCATTCCTAGTCTGGTCCCGGTCTGGTCCCAGTCTCAGTCCTGATCACCCGACAGTCTACACGGGCGTAACTCCGGGCCTGTCCCAACTTAGTACTGGTTCAGTCCTGGTTTAGCCCTGTTTTAGTCCTGGCTCTTACAATTTTCTGTAATAAAAACATACACATATCAATAACTTAATCTCCAAAATAATGTTAAGTTACACAGCTTGTGTTGTTAATTGTTAATATGGCAAATATGGCACTTGTAGGAAGCTCACCTTTGTTGCAGATTGATAACTGATTAACTTGGTACAAAGTTTTATATTGAATACACACTCTAGGCACTGTAAGCTGTGTCTTTGTTTTGCCCCAGTGCAGGTATATTGTATAAGCAGTGTTTCATTTTCTGATGATCAGGAAGGATGCTAGTTGTTTACAGCTTTACCGTAACAGCAAAACTCCGCTCTGGTCTCTAAGAGGTGTGAAAAGCACTTATACACCCATTGTTTTAAAATACACTACTTCCATTTTTCAGTTCTGTTTTTAAGAAGAATCAGAAGAATCAGGTATAGCACCTTTAAGTCTGTGGATACACGACGCCCACGGAACTGTTGAACAAACAGACTATAAACGTACTATACTGTTTCATCATTCCCGTAACTGAGAGATGAACAACACCTTATTTGCTCATTATTTACGTAAACCTTTAATCTGCAGGAAGATTCCACACTAGGGACTTTTCTTATTATCTGATGCACTACATTACATTTGAGCTGTAGACAGGTTGAATGATTAACTTTATATGATTCTGTACAGATCATAAGGAACTGTCACACTGGCTATGTTTACATGCACACCAAATATATGACGATAATCAGATTTCTGGAGTTATCAGATTTAGCAATGGACCATAGACTGTATATATAAAAAAGTGGACTAGCAGTATTTCCCATTAGTAAAGACTATTATGGTGGCACCCCATAGTCTAAAATTTGGCCCCATAGACAACATAGATTATACTTTGGCATCACAAAATAACCATCTGCATCGCTGGTTTAGCAGGGAGCTGGCACTTAGCAACGTAAAACCTGATTTGCCTGTTATTAATGTCCATATATTTATTTACAGAAGAAATAGTGAAAGAAAAACATCAGGAGGAACATGCAGAGCGAACATTTGAAAACAAAAATGAGAAGCGGCAGCTAGTAGGCAAGGCAAGACAAGTTTATTTGTATAGCACAATTCATACACAAAGTAAATCAAAGTGCTTTACAAGTAATTCAAAGTGCTTTACAAGGTTAGTAGGGTTTATGGGATAAAAAAGATATCAGTTCCAGTATGAGATAGCGATACAGATTCGTCAATTAGTATCGGCCAGTATAGATATTCAGTACTGATATTATTTTTTGGACTCTTTTTTTTTTTTTTTTTTCGCCCCATTCTGTGTGTCCAGTGTGTGCCATTCCCAGACTGTCTCCAGATTTGTCGTTTTGAACAGACTCATGAATAAACATGGAAATAGCAGAATATATATATGCACAGCTGTATATGTAACTAATTATTTTACATTCCAGTTAAATACATTTTCTTTTTTGGTAGCCTAAAAGCTTAATATCGCTATCTGCAACTATCAGTGCAAGCAGAGTAAGGAGCAGGCCAAATATCAGATATCAGTATTGACTCAGAAAATCCTTATCGACCCATCCCTAATCAGATTATGGAAATATCATAACATAAGGGAAAATATTGTAGCAACGCTCAGACTTAAGAGAAACTTTATTGATCCACAAGGGAAATGACTTGGACACAGTAGCTCACACGTCACAATATAATATAATAACAAAGAGTAAAAAGTATATATAAATGGTAATAATTAATTCTAAATAAGTTGCAATAAAATAGCAAGAGACTGGACTGGAGTCAAATAAGGCATAATTATATAAGACAAAAATGAAAGAATCAATGTTAAAGACTAAAAGTGTATGTTTTTTATGTGATCAGTGATGGTGTGAAAGGAAGTCAGGCATGTGAAGTGTTAATTCAGGTAGTTTACAATGTGGTCAATTTAGAAATTTAGATAAGCGATTACCCTGCTGCTGGGGTTATTGTGTCAGTGCTAGTATTCTTTAATGTTTATGGTGCTATTATCTACGGTATCACACATTGATTCCTTATTCTTTGCATCATCACAGTGCGTGGAAAGTACCTTGACTTCTGGATGGTCTGGGGCCACTCCGAAGCGCACTAGGCCAAAGGGAACAGGAAGCTGCTCATAAATGTCCACTTGAACATCGGGGCGGGCCTACAACCACACACAAGTATTATCTTAAGATCTTGATAATTTGCAGTGACATCATGCCGGGGGTGTTCTGCCTGTGCGCTTATGGCTGAATTTTTTTAAGATAAGCCTGAAAGCTGAACAAATATTATTTAAGCAGCACATTTTCAAGAGCCTGTGATTAATACGCCTACATTTAGCATCACACCCCCTGGGAATGTTGATGACATCAGCTGCAAAGTATCAATATATAATTTTGTTCATCTGTTCTTACTTAAATATAAATTCAAAATTCTTTACTGTGCAGCAACATAAAGTGTGAGCAAACAATACGTTATTTAAAACAATAATAATAATTTTTAAAACGTTTCAATTAATAAAACCTTATTAAAGAAGCAACCATGACTGTGAAATATGATCAAAAACTGTTCACTCAGCCCTTGCTAATGCTAATGCCAACTTTTATTACAATCGTAAAATATAAAAAACACAACCCACTGAAATTCAAAATAAATTAAAGTAAAGATTATACACAGTTGATTTTATATGTAGATAACTTCAGTTTGTGGCATTGTTTTAATATTTATGCTAATGCTTCAAAATTAGCATTAACATTAGCATTAGCATTAGCATTAGCATTAGCATTAGCATTGAAAGTGTCCCTTTCTAATGCTGCATTCTGTTGAATGTCGGTAGTGGATAAATCTGAGTCAGTTCTCCCGACATCCGTTGTAAATGCGTTCTATTGCAACAGTTAAAGAAAATATGGATGCCTGAGAAAGTTTAATGTAATGTCAGGTATCACTGTCAAATGATGGGAAAGAAAGTCTAAACGTCACTACAAAGTTTTTAGAAGACGCTTCTCTCTACATCAGGGGTAACCAACCAGTAGCTCTACTCACCCCATTCCAAGTAGCTCGCCAAGGGATTTCTGAATTATACCATTGTGCTAAATAACAAATTTGTTTGATTAAATGACTATTTCCATTGTAAATATATGTTGTGCATTGATTACTGAGTAGGCTCATGATATGATAACGTCACGGTATGAACCTCACACTATGATATTGATTGACATATTGTCAGAAAGCTCACGCTATGGAGGGGAGGCTCACAATTAGGGATGTAACAATATCCAAATGTATGACATGATGGTATGATATTTTGGTATGATATGATGAGATGATATTTTCAAGATATACATCTCATGGTACGATATTTATTGCAATATTTAGTGGAGGCTAACAAAATGTTAGTTAATATGCTACTTTTTCCTCTTAAAACGCCTTGACAAGACTTAATTCAAAGAACTAAGATTAAACGTGCTTAGAACTGTTATTTCTTCTTGTAGTTTACACTGAAATGGTTCAAAGAATCATGGTCTATGTAGTTCCCTCTGTCTTTTTTTTCCAGCTATGGCTGCACCATAACTCTTAATTTAAGCAAAGAGACTTGTAATTCAATATATTGTGATGGTCCACCATATTATTGTGAGAACTTTGACGATACAATATCACGATATTTCCGTTATTGTTACATCCCTGCTGGATAATGGGCTTTGTTTATTGGCATCTAACTGTGCCTCATCTACAGCTTGCCATGGTTCTTATATTTTCTACATTTCTAGTGACCACTAAAATTAGTAGCTCTCTGGAATTTTTGTGTTACTAAAAGTAGCTCACAGAAGGAAAAAGGTTGGAGACCCCTGCTCTACATATACACAACATAACACATCAAAATGACAAAATGACTCTGCACTGAACTAGCCTGAGTTTGTGTTTCGGAACCCTGATTAATTTGACCGTTCCATTGCACTTTCTCGAGGAAAAGATCAAGTTTCCCAGAGTCCCGAGCACAAGAGAATGCAGCATAAATATAGAACTCAAATTTCCAAAGGGGGATATTTTTCCTTATTGGTTACATTGTACTTTGCCAAGAGGTAAATTTACAAATGTTGAACCTGATCATTTTTATCAGAGACTGGACTCTAAAACCCAGTATATTCCAACTATAACCTAGATCTAGATATTATCAGTATTAGCAGCCACCATCTGTATGTTTCAAACTTTAAACTATTTTTTCATATTTATATGGAAAAAGACAGATTTAACTAGAAAAGCACTCAGAGAGCACTTTTTTATATAAATCTATAAGTCTTCTGGATCTGATCCAGATCAGCCTTTGGAATATGAAAGAGGATCCCATTGTCCATCCCTGAGTCAAATTTCATGGGGTTTGGTCAATAATTAACCGAGATATTGAGAAACAAAATTTTTGGCCCCATTTACCACAATGTTAGCTAAAATTTCAAAGTGATCCAGAATCCAGGATTTCTTCCGGATCACCCCCACAATGAAATCATTTCTTCCTTTTCACATTTCCAACAAATCCTGAAAATTTCATCAAAATCGGTCCATAACTTTTTGAGTTATGTTGCTAACAGACAAACAAACAAACAGACAAACGCCGGCAAAAACATAACCTCCTTGGCGGAGGTAATAAATTTATACATTCAGTCTTTTTAATAGTAGTTTTTGCATGAACTCCCGGGCAGCTGTACTCTTGTGAGTGCAGTCTGGCTCAGATACACAGAGAGATACATTATAGTTTTCAGTGCTTTTGACACGCCTCTTTTTTAGTCGACTAATTGATCTGCAAGACATATTTTTGGTCAATCAAGAATTTCTTTAGTCAACTCCAGCCCTAATAAAAGAGTTTGATCTGAGAACATTTGATCATAAATCATGTAATTAAGTTTATAGAGATACAGTTTCACACTTTACTGATAATAACAATAATAAAATGAATGAATGAATACAGTTGACAGGCTGATGTGTGACAGTTGACAGGCTGTTATGTGACTACAGCCACGCCAAGCCTAATCTTATATCTGGGCCCTGTGCCATGAAGCTGGCTCAACCTACTCCCCTTTCTCAAGTATGAGCGTTTCTGCAGAAGTGTAACATCAAAGCGGGTCTCTCTGTCAACACTAGAACCCACAGTTGCGTGTCAATAACAAATTTTGAGATGTGATAAAATGCAGAACAAAATACAGATAAAAAACGATAATGCTTGCCTAGAAATCCAGAGGGATATATCTTTGTATTTGTTATACATATGATACAGCGATGAGTCTGGATTTTTCCCGGCAACAATAATGCTGAAACTATTCTAAATGTGCAATACTGTTAAAGTTGGTTTGCATCTATAATGAGTCAGAAGCAGTTTCAATTCTTATCACTGTAAAGAAAAATAATAAAAAGTTTTACACTACTACAAAGAAAAACTACCAGGACCTTGATAACATTGACCCCCAAAAATGACTGTTACTAAGGCGGTGTAATTAATTGAATTTTGATCTCTAAACCCATATAAGCGAGTTGAAATGATTAAAGCTTAAAGGGACAGTTCAGAATTTTGGACGTAGCACCTCATTTCCTAGTGAGCCAGAGTGTTGGAGACGTGTGGAGACACTTTTTGAAATATTCCATCCAGTCCTTGTATTTGCAGAGGTCGCTGGTGCTAGATTAGTGCATGTCAATGGCCATAGTTATCCTGCCACTAAAAAAGGTCTTACCCACTCCACAAAACACCCAAAGCAGATCGATTATTACTCCAGACTGTCGATGTGAATGTCTGTTTCAGTATAATGTTTGAAATAAAAGTAACCTTGCATCGCATGAATTGTCACATAATGAGGGACTCTTTTCTCCTATAAGGGTGTGCAGTGGTCCGAGACAAGAAAAATATCTGATGAAGGCTTTTTTTGCCGAAAAGTTATTGTGTTAAAAAAGCTTTTGGACATCGGCCAACTGAGTGTGCTATGCATTTTTTCACCCTTGTCTCGCTGGCCCTTGCATTTGCACCTCTACAAGAATTTTGGTGTGCGTTTTCTGTTTCTTTTGACTATTTTCTCATATATCAGTCCGCCGCTGCCAAGCATTCTATCAGGAAGTACAAGTCACTGCTGCTGCTCAGACATAAATCCTTCAAATGCAAAATTATTCTATTGACACAAACATTCACATCGACAGTCTGACATTATAATAGTTTTGCTTCCGGTGCTTTGTGGAGTGGGTAAGACTGTTTTTAGGATAACTATGGCCATTGACATGCACTAGCCTAGCACCAGCGACCTCTGCAAATACAAGGACTGTATGGAATATTTTAAAAAGTGTCTCCACACGTCTCCAACACTCTGGCTCACTAGGAAATGAGGCTCTATGTCCAAAATTCCGAATTGTCCCTTTGACATAGTTTATTTTGGGATATTTTTAAATATATATAAGTATATTTATTTCATTTTTTTTAATATAGAGATTTTAGAACAGCTGGATATATTTATATGGATATATAAATATATTTATATATATTTATATGGATATGTTTATTTTGGGTACATTTATGTTTTTCTATGCCTTATTTCATGTTCAAGGTTTATTTTATTCATTTTATGTTTTGTACATTGCAAAACTGCTGGAAGGTACATATTTGTAACCTATATTTATTTTCAATTTGAAAGTTTTGCGTAAATTACCAATAACAAAGAGAGAGAGAGAAATCCTGAAAAAATGCATCGTGTAACTAAATAATAATTGCTTGAATAATCGTGGTTTCAATATTGACCAAAATAATTGTGATAATGATTTTTATTTTTTCATAATCGAGAAGCCCTAATTGTTACCATTATCATTTATTTTCAGATGGATTCTCGTCTTTGATTGGTCATCTTGTAATCTTATTGGGGACCTTAACCTGGTCCAGAGCAGCTTATAAGGGCATGTTACATAGAGATCTACGTCAATATAAATTTTGTAGCGCTGCTTAACTTGGATTAACCCCTGGGAAATTACCTCTCTTGCCCTTTAATCCAGCTTTGTAGTATAGGGCCCTGATCTGAGTGCACGTTCTCTTCAGAGAGCTTAGATTGAGCAATAGTTGCAATATGATAATATCCAAAGGGTGTTGCTTTAATAGAGGTAGCACGTTTTCCCTGTGTCCAGGAATTCCCCATTGATCTGGCATGCACAATGGCCAGGCTAATCCTCCACGAGCCTATCTCTTTCTTGGTCTGGAAAAAAGTACCTACCATAGACTGTGTAAAGAAGTGGACTAAATGAGTGTAATGTCTCCCATAGCGGTCTGCTCCAATGAAGCACACTGAGGCTGACAGTTATAGTGGCGGATTTGGAGCAGAGTTCCGAGAGTTTACGTATACGTATACGTCCGTATACGGACAAAATAGCGAAATAAAAACACTAGGATCATGTTAAGCGGGTTAATACAAACATTTTTAAGACCAAAATGAGGAGCTGGTGTGATATAGTATATTGACCTTGGGGTCAACGTACCGCTATAGTAAAGTGACCCTCCCCCCTATAGGATTTGGACTCCCCTTACTTTTTTGTTTAGTAGTTACTTATCTTATCATTATTTCTCATGTATTTTACTTATATATTGCTACATACTCACTTTCTTTTAAGAAATTTTAAGGAATGTTTTGATGGATAACAACTTTATTTTATTTTGTGTTTTGTGTATTTTGTGTAAATGTAACGTATTGTTAAAATTGCATATACATAGCAATCTTTTCACTTTTAATATTGTATTTTACATTGTTATGGTTTTTAGTTTGCTATGTTCAGATCATCCTCAATCATAATGTCAATTTAAGACATGGTTTGTAAGGATAAAGACCTTGAATTTAGCAATGTTGTGTTATAATAAACATATTGGGGGTCAGATTACTCTAGTCATAGGATTTTGACCTTTTCTATATATAACTGATCATTGTTAATATTCAACTAACATTACTTCTTACTTTACATCATAATAACTATAATAAACATATTGGGGAGTCCGATTACTATAGTCACAGTTATCTTCCATTTAACTACTTAATTGATCACCCCTGTCTATTTTAACAAGATTCCAAATCATTATACATCACTTTGATTACCTAACTCATTAATAACTACTTATCTAATTTTCTGTAAAATATGTGTTTAAACAACTAAGTAATTTTAACATTCAAAAGTTATAATCGACATAAAAAAATGAATCTGAGTTCTTCAAAAAACCCTTTTAAGTATGTCAATATGTTTTAATTTGCAGATATAGTATTAATATTCAAAGTTTTTCTATAGAATTCAAGTTCTTTATTAATAAAATATAGATTTTCATGGGGGGGGGGGGTCAATATTCTATAGGGGGGTCAACATACCATAATAGGATTCTCACTCCGGGGTCAAAATACTGTATGGTATGTAATTTTTTTTTTCAGACAGTAATGAGGCAATCTATCAGAAAAGTGTTAAACTATGTCGTTGTGGTGGATACCTCTGCCAACACTCCACAGTGTCAGTATTATTTCACTTAATTTAATTTCATGAACATTTAGCTAATTACATCACATATAATTTAATTCCTTTATTTAGACTTATATTCTAATTTGGGTGCACATATTTTAGTTAATATAATTCTGAATTATTTACTTAGACTCTTTTGTTTTGTTCTAGTGCCCAGATGGAGGAGCCATTGCAAAGACCATGAACGCCGAATAAAGGGGGGAGCATTATTTAGTTAGTTTTACTTAGTTCGGTTTGTTTGTTTAAGGTCACTTTACTATCACTTATTATTTTCTGTATTATAATTATTTGCCTTCTTGTTATTTTGATTAAGTTAGTAGTTTTAGTTCATTATTTAATGTATTTCTCCCATCATGTGTTCAGTTTTAGTTGGTCCTCAGCTATTTAAACTCCCCTGTTCTTTGTCTGGTTGGGTTAGTTTTGTTCTGTTTTGGCTGGGCCCCAAATCAAACTGGGCCCAGCTTTTTTGTTAATGATTTACCTAATTTGAGCCTTTGTTAAATTACATCTTATTTTACTTTATTAAATTTAAACAAATTTTGATACCTTGTCTTTGCCTTTCTGTTTAGTCTACTACAGATGGTAAATTTCGTGGTTGGGACAATACTGCACAAAATTCATTACAAAATTGAGCAGTGTAGTGCTCGCGGACTCATCTCCAGATCTTGTGCTCCAGATCCAGCTATCTTAGCTGGAGGATTTGATCCATTGAGGGAAAGTGGAGTTCATGGAAACCCACTTAGACACTCCACACACAAAGTACTCACAGTTACAGGTAGTCAAACCCGGAACATTCTTGCGTGCCTTGGATGGCCACAGTATTTGTTCAGTCAAGCACATACTTTCTCCCACACACTCTACCATGCATTCCTACACCAGTGCGTGGAATGTACCTTTATCAGATGCTGTGCGGTGTAGAAGCCAGCCGGACCACTCCCCACGACACAAACCTGGGGCCCGTGGGTGGAGACAGATGAGCTTACACCTGCACAATACAGATCGTTAAAGAAGACATGTTAGGACAGGTTTGTACAAAAAAACAAACAAAACAAACAGGACTGCGCAACTTGAAAATAGTTCCGTGAAAGTTCGAATGTACTTCAAATGTAACATCAGTGCAGACAGGCTCTTTACGGCGCTGATAGCACAGGGTCCAGATTACAAAGTTAGCTCTGATAATCTGTTCTAAAATCTAGCGCGTGCCAGTCCAAGTTGTCCTCAGATGTGTCTTTTTAAACAGACTAGTGAGTTACAGTGAAATAGAAGAGAGGAAATGGATATATGTTGTTTACACTAGGGCTGTGTTAATAAAAAGATTCTGTTCACATGCACAACAATTAGCTGAAAACTGACAAACTAATGTAAGAATCCCATTTCAGAACACTACAGATTTCAACTACAGTGCAATAAAAGGAAAAATTAGATAGCGTTTGATGTAGGGGTGCACAAAAATATTCAAATATCAATACATCATATACCGTGCTTTTTTCATGGTTTGGGTGTTTCCTGCAACTTAAACTCCAGTGCGACTTATAGTAAAATTTTCAGACTGACAGCAGCAAGAGGGCGCTCTAGGCTTGTGTGTCAGTATCTGTTCATTCTACTTCGCATGCCTCTTGTAGAAAAAGCCGTTGTACTACTGTAAATAGTGAAATATTCAGCCAAAAACGGTAATCGAGTAGCAGAGAGAGAGTGAGTTCGGCAAACTTATGTTTTGTTGTTTATGCTATAATTATCTGAAGAACTGTTAATATGTTACGTTCACATATTAACGCCTATTCAGTCTGTTGTTATTACTATAACTTGCCTTTCAAGATGAAATGTCGGTTCCTGGTTTCTGATTTTATAAAATACATTTCCCAAAAAAGTGCAACTTATAGTCCTGTGCGACTTATCTATGTTTTTTTCTTCTTCATTGCGCATTTTTTAGTTGGTGTGACTAATACTCCGGAAAATACAGTAATTTAATGATGATGATAGAGTATGGATAACGTCTGCTGCTGTATCGATATATCGCATATTTTTTTGTATATTTTACAAAATTATTTTGTTACAGCTTCAATTTTGTTGCTTGTTTAGAGGAAGGAAGCTCATTTATGCAACACATTTGACATATTCATTGTTTTGATGATTAAAATGGGTGTGTTTCATATGAACTTTGCACAAGAAGTTGTTTAACAAAGCCATGATTTAGCCTTTATTTTTTATTGAACAGTATCAAATCAATTTAAAATATGTCGTATCAAATCAAAAGCTCACTGTATCAAGATATGTATCATATCGTGGCATATGTATCGAGGTATGTATCATATCGCCAACTTTTTAATCATACTCAACCATGGTCTGAGGACTGTGAGTGAATGCACATAGTAAGGATGCAAGGATATTGTATATAATAAACAAATCGTTCGATACTGGTGTCACGATTCGAAACACGTGTTCGGTCGATATGCGCGTGTCTCTCCATGTGCACTGTGTTGTCATTTATTTTGGTCTGAAAGGAAAATAGTTATCGCGGCATCCTCCTCCTAATTGTTAAAATTAAAATAATAGTGTTATTATATTATATTCATAAGGAGAAAAAAAATACATGAGGTTTTTTTTCACATCTTAAAACGTATCAAAATCGATATCGTGACCCTTATAGAGATACTTATCGAATCAAAACTGAGTCAGGATTTGGACCAGCAGCGAGCCTGGGTTTCAGAGGTACATCCACTATCCACTAAGTTCTATCAGAGCGGCGAATGTGTAGTCAGTAACAGATATCGGAACTGGCTTAAACTAGGGCTGCAACAAGTTAATCAATTAATCAAACTAATCGATCGTTAAAGGTGCACAGTGTAACTTTCCTGGTGGCGTCAAATGCTTTTACTTCATGGACATGTAATTGGTTTGTCTGGAATGTTTCACAGTACGATATTAAACCTTTATGTCTTCACGGAGACCAAACCAGACCAAATCATGTTATAGGTCAGATCTGTGGAGAGGTGACCCCGCTCACAGTCACAAAGCCTGTTTTTCTCTGTATTGTTGAGCTATAAAACCACCTGCAATTGAACAAATGTAATGTAGAGCTGTTTAATGTCATACTGTGGAACATCTCCATGGAAAAATTTGACTAACCCTCCACTGCAGAATTACACAGTGCCCCTTTAACTGGTTTATACACTCCAAAACATGTCATGAGAGAAGAGGTTTTAGGTCTTTTAGAATTACATACAAATGATAAATGTCGTGTGTTTTGGTGGATGTTCTCAAGCAGTTTCACAAATCTCAGCTCTCACTAATCGCTAGACTAATAAATTAGTCTAGTGATTTGCGATATTAGCATTTTAGCTGACCATAGATGTGCCAACAAACTTTCTAAATGTATTAAAGAAGAAAAATAGTTACGCCTGTCACGATACATTTTATATCAAACCCTATCGTTCAATATATGACAGAAGGAACAGTCAAACTAAATTCTGGAGGTCAATATTTATCGTCTATTTCTTAGTACTAGTGGGGCACTTTTTGTTATTCTTCTGTATCACGATTCCAAATAAATAACTTATTATACATAACTAACTACTAGTAAGTGTTTATTTCTGTTCTTTATCTATTGCAGTTTGTGGTTTAAGCATATTATACACTTGGATAGTTTTCTGGGGATAATCCTGCTTTAGGGTTTTTGTGGCAGTGGTATAAATTTGTTTCAGTATTATCGTTTATTGTTTATATTTTCTTCAGCATTATATTTTTTTGTCCTTTGTACCAAAATGACTACGTAACACTGCCAAATCCTACACGTATGACAGATTAAGAAAATGAAACTGGAGAATGAAGTAAATAGATAAGCAATTAAAGATTGCTCAAACCTGCACAAGTCACTCCAAATTTTCTTAATCGAGCGTCGGGAGAATTAATGATTAATTGAAAATCGATCGTTAACGTTTTTACATTAAAATTTTCATCATTATTATTACTATCTGCACTACTAATCTGCATAAATTCAACTTTACGACATATAAACCGTAACCACTAGAGCCACATCAGCCCGTTTGACATTAAAATGTGTTTAATGCAGCTTTGCACACGTCTCACAGGAACAAAACTTAAAACCACATAGCTACTTTGCATAAACTAAGCAAAGAAAAAAACAGCTCTTGCGCACTGATGCAGTCAACTTCTGTCGGACTAAAGGACATGACTCTGTGGAATATAGCAACCTACATTCAGTTTGTCGATTAAAAATGAACGCAATCAACGACATTTTTAAAGATCAATTAGCGATTAATTGACTAATCATGCCCCTCCCTACTCCAAATACAACTTTGAGAGGGTAAATGATGAGGGGAACATTGATAACATGGTTAAAAGCTCTGAAAACTCAATTTTGCATAACAGGTCTGCTTCAATTAGCTTTACGGCATTCAAAAATGAATTGGATGTAAGGTTGTTGCTTGTTACAATGAATGTGCACTTAAGCTGAATGACATTAATGACATATGAAGCTCACAAAGCTACAGTCTGTGTCTTGTCAAGTTGACACTTCCTGTGATAGGTTAAATCCACCTGTCCATCACTCAGAGCATGACAGGGGTTTGTTGATGTATATGGCTCTACTTTAAAATCGTTTTGTGCAACCTATTTTTACTATTGTTGTTAATATATCATGATAAACATCGACAAGAAGGAACTTGTCAAAACTGACTCTGAACTTTTCTGATGAACTATTTTTCACCATCAGCTTGTCTCCATGTGCATATTGACATTTTCTTTGACATAAATCCATGGTGGAGGAAGTACAATTAAGTACAGATACAGGGGCAAACGATTACTCGAGTAAATGTATCACATGACAACATCTACTTAAGCAATAGTATTAATGTACTTTAGGAGTAATGCATACAAGTATTTTGCAGAGACTTTTAAACTATTAAAGTACAACATGTAGTGATTTTGATAAAGAATTTAGCTGATTTCTTAATTTTTCTAGCTGTTAGGGTTGTGTTTTGTGTATTTGTTTTGCTCAAAGTTGGGACATAATCTATTTCATTTCAGCAGGAGAAGTACTTTTTTTTTTTTTTTTACTTTTCAATACAGATCTAAAATGTATTGGAGTAGAAAGTACAGATACATGCTCTCAAATGCAGTGAAGTAAAAGTAAAAAGTATCCAAACTATCCAAAGAAGAAAGTAAAGCACAGACACCTAAACGTTTTACTCAAGTATTGTACTTTTACTTTTCTACTTCATTGCCTTCTCACACTGACGTCAGCATATATTATTCATCATTTCAGGCAAAGCAATAACTCCTCAACGGAGACAAACAAGTTGCGTAGCCATTAGAAAAGTTACGCAGTACACCTTTAACTAAACAGTCATTTATTTAAGTGCAGGATTACGAAGTCTGGAAGAAGAATTTCTTTATAAAGCCTTACCATTCGAAAGACGATTTACCCACGTGTTTTTTCCAAGATTCCAAACTTTTAGTCCCGACAATAATGTACGCGCCCTCATGCTTGTTTTGGTCCAAGATAATCCTTCTTTGCGCGTTTTCGTGAGCCTTCTTCTCCTCGTCTCACCCCGGATAGATGGATTAGCTCCGCATCACTCCAGCCTTGAGCGAAAATGTCAAGGTGAAACGCGTTTATCTTCTCCTGGAAACGGCATGTAACTTTGTATGCAATTCTACACAGCCCGATCTTCTTAAATATGAAAATATAAACTTAATGTTGGCCTTCTTTGCGCTGTTTTGGTGGCTACAGCATGTTGGTGTAACAGTTAATAGCTGTCCGTGTAGGAACTAGTGATACGGAGTTGGTTCCTAGTGTGTAAACAATTTTATTTTTTACTCATTTGTAACCCATTCAATGCAAGCATAATGCCAGCATATGTTTTGTATTATTTACACATCTATGTATTCTACATGTACGTGTATGGTGATATTCATCTGTTACCATAGTGACACAATGCACACATTAGCAAACAGTGCCAAAAAAAAAGTCTAACAGCACAAATCAGATCTCCTTGTAGTTCCAACTAAGTCAGCTTTTTTGATGTTAAAACAAAGCTCAGATTAAAGTCTAACCTGAGAACCAGAGTTTCTAACAGAGTAGCTGCAAAAGTATCAATTTAAAGGGGTAGTTCAGGTTTTTTGACATGAATCTGTATGGTATCCCTGTCAGCAGTGTGGTGCATCCATACTGGCTTTACCTCCAAAAGCGTCCGGTGAGCCCAGATCCTGGCCGGTTTTGGTGCTGAGGAAAGTAGTCCGGCAAGTTGGCTGGGGACAGTCTAATAAAGCATTTTTCTTCTCAAAACAATCTGTGTTCAAAAGAGTGATACATTTGCACCACAAAACCTCCGTCCTCTAAAAAGTCAGACCTCATAATCGCTTGGCGCTATTTTCTCTCCATTCGTATCACTGCGCGCGGCCGCCAGGTGACAGCCGCGCCTGGTTAACTGCTTGGAATGTTCGCCTCTTCTCTCTCTGGCGAATTTCGGCATTAGTATATTTGGGTTCAAAAAGATATCCCATTGGCTCTGTGCTAAAATCAGTTTATTCATCATCGGTGTCGTAGTCAGACATGTTGTTGCTGACATTCCAAGCAGTTAACAAAGTGAAACTGGCGCGGCTGTCACCTGGGGGCCGTGCGCAGTGATACGAATGGAGAGAAAATAGTCTGACTTTTTAGAGGACGGAGGTTTTGTGGTGCAAATGTATCACTCTTTTTAACACATATTGTTTTGAGAAGAAAAAGGCTTTATTAGACTGTCCCCAGCCAACTTGCCGAACTACTTTCCTCAGCACCAAAACCGGTCAGGATCTCGGCTCACCGGACGCTTTCGGAGGTAAAGTCAGTGTGGATGCATGACACTGCTGACGGGGATGCTATACAGATTCATGTCAAAAAACCTGAACTATCCCTTTGAAATTTGTGCAAAAAGGAAGTAAAGGCCCAATTGAAAAATACAGGGCCAGTTTATGATCCATACATGAAATACTGTAAGTTTGGGTGCATTTTTGTAACTGACAAGGATAAGAAAAAAGTTTTGAAATTTGAGATTTGTTATTAGAATTTGAGATTAGATTTACATGTGTTTACATGTAAATGTCATTCATTAAAAAAAGACAGCTGCCTAGTATTCCCGCTTGCCACCTGTCCACAAAAGTCCACAATAATCCATACAAGAGATTAATTAAGATTAGTAGTTTTATTGACATTTTTACATTTATACAACACTGCAAATGTATAAGAATCACGGTGTATTTTACATACAGACCTTCAAAATGACATAATTTTCATATTTACTGTAAAAATGTCTTTCTTCCTTTATTCACAAAGCATTGCACTGACTGAATAATGCTGTAAAGTGTCTCTGAGTGTCCAAAAATGTCCTATATTAAACTAATCCAGGTAAAAAAAAAGTATTTGGGGAAACTACTAAATCTACTACTAACTACTGAAGTAAGAGAGACTGAGTTTAATATAATTCAGACCCACCAGCACACCCATCACCTCCGCTGCCCACAGACCAGCCCGGAGTCCCCTTTGCTACATCTACTCCATCAACTCTTCACTCTCCTTCTCCTCCCCACTTTCACCCATGGCCCTTCCCAACCATCTAGAAAGCCTCATCAGATCGGGAATCAAGATGGTTCCTCTCACACCTAACATAGCACGATCAAGGGTTCTGACATCCACTATGTTGAACTCTCCCCCATACAAAACTGTGCCTGTTTCACCACCAGAGACTCTCTCAGCTCTAATTTTTCACCCAAACCTCCCCCTACTCCACCTCCTTGGTCCTTACCTGGTTCCTGCTTTCAGTTGTATGCACAGACTTTGATGGTTTAGTCATTACAGATGATTTTAATGTACATGTGGATAATGTGTGTGACAAAAATGCCAAAGAGCTTAGTGTTGTCCTTGAAACTTTTGGTCTGACTCAGCATGTCAGTGAGCCCACTCACAACAGAGGGCACACTCTGGACCTGCTCATTACAAAGGGTGTAAATATTTCAAATGTCAATGTGGTTGATGTTGCTCTGTCTGATCATGTCTGTGTCTTCTATGACCTGTCTGTTATTCCCAAACCATCGGCTGCTCCTACAGTTGTTTGAAGATGCACTGTTCATGGAAACGATAAACTTTGCCTCATGTTCTAATGTTGATGATGTATTGAACTCTGTGACTTTGAGTGTTTTGAATGTTCTGGATGCCATCACCCCGATAAAGGTTAAAATGGTTAAAGATAGGGAAAAAGCTCCATGGAGGAATGATGACTCAGTCAGTGCACAGAACACTTACTTGAACTAGGAAGTACGAGCACATAAGTCCTGTGCTCAGGTCTCTACACTGGCTTCCTGTGGCTCAGAGAATAGACTTTAAAGCAGCTCTGCTTGTGTACGAGTCTCCCCACGGCCGAGCACCAAAGTACATCTGTGACATGTTAGTGCCATATGAACCATCTCACACTCTGAGGAGCTCAGGGACCGGCCTCCTGCTGGTGCCCAGAGTCAGGACTAAACAAGGGGAGTCGTTTCAGGTTCATGCAGCTAAAACCTGGAAGTCTTCCTGAACATGTGAGACAGACTCTTCCATGACGCTGTTTAAATCCAGGCTCAAAACATTTCTGTTTAACTGTGCATATAACTGAAAGGTTTTCATTCCACACTCTTCTCTCTAATTTATGTCTCTCTTTTTTAATGTTAATCTTTATGATTATTTATGTTTTGATTTGTTTTTATGATGATTTTAATGTATTTCTTATTCTGTAAAGCACTTTGAATCACTTTGTGTACGAATGGTGCTATGCATATAAATTTGCCTTGCCTCAAAAGATCATACAACACAACATTGAGAAAAACATTTTTAAAGAACTATGTAAGAAGCAGAAATGTTCAGATCATTTCATATTGTCAATAACAATAAATCTTAAAAGTCTCTCAAGTACAGACTCTATGACCCACTTCCAGGATGTGGTTAGGTGGAACATTTCTGTAAACAAGTCATAGCCTGTATTTCCACAACACTGTACTTCAGACTGTACTCAATATGCCCTAATACAATGACGGTTTCAGATTCCAAAATTTTATCTCACTGAATGACTAAACCTGATGAAAACCAGAACTCACTGATGTACTTAGGTAATAGTACGAATGATTCTGAGGAGGTGTGCAGACGTGATGATGATGCCTGGTTTGGGGCAGATTATTGGCAGGTCTCCTTGGGATGAATTTCTTTTGAAACTGAAAGAGAATATGTAGAGATAAGTTGATATAATCAGTTGAAACTTTGCAGCTACTGTCATGAACATTCCCTGGAGGGTGAAGTTAACTGTTTTAACACAATTTGACCATTAATAACTCATTTATCTTAAATAACCTCAGCTTCTGGCTCCATCAACTCTGGCTCCAACTGACTTTACATTAAAAAGCGGTGGCCTCTCTCTGGTGTTTTTATTTCACTATTTTGTCCATAAATAAATTCCAGTGACAGAGCACACCGAGCAGTTCCTTCAAGTTAGCTTCACCCTCCCAGTAAATGTTTATGATGTGTAATGCAGTCATACTTACACTTTTGCACAAGACGAGTGCTGTGAAAATCAGGAAGCAGATGACAAAAGGGATGGACACGACACTCAGGGCGATAAGTGTGATGTCATTTATGAAAAAGCCATCACTGCACCCACTTTCAGGCTTTTCTCGTAAACGATCTGCAGTTAGAAGAAACAAAGAGCACACAGTCAGACTTCTTTTATGGTGCGCTTTAAGGAAACTTTTGTGGGCAGTATTTTATTTTTGTGCAACAGACATACCGTGCACATACTCTAACCAAAACAATAATAGCAACCTTGGGCGACTACTGCCAAAACAAAAAAAATAATCATCCCTAGTTTTCTCTCCTTTAAACATTTTGGTGAAGAACAGTAAAGTGAAGAAGTAAAGAGAAGTAAAGTAGTAAAGATTTGATAGTTACTTTATTATCCATCCATTTTCTTCCGCTTATCCAGGGCTGGGTCGTGGGGGCAGATATTTTATTATCTTGAAGGAAATTCGTAGCGTAAAGTAAAGCAAAGTAGTAGAGAAAAGTGAAGTAGTAAAGTACTACAAAGTAAAATTGAAAAGTACAGTAAAGAAAAGTAGTAAAGTAAACAGTCTCGACCAAAAAAGGATACAGTTTTGTTATGGAATTACCTCTACTTTATAGCACATGTCATAATTGTTACCTAGCAACCATAGTCTAATTAAGGACCAAAGCCCATCTAGCATACACAATCGTTATTTTTAGAATGAAAAAATATGATAACCTTTATATTTTTCTTTTATTAAAGTTTAAACTGACAGAAAAATGTGCTCTTGTTCAGGCAACGTGCTACTTTGGGATGGAATTTTGTGTATTGATGACATAGAAGATAGAGAGATTCCTTTTAAGGACTGAGCACTACTTCCTAAAAATCTACCAAAATAAAAAAAAAAATTGTGAACTTTAAAGGTGCATTGTGTAACTTTGTGCTTGGTGGTCCATCATCTGCTTGCTTCTATGGGTATGTCATTGCTCTGGAATGTTTCACAGTGTGTATTAAACCTTTCTAACCTCATGGAGACCAAACCAGACCAAGTTACAGCTCAGATCTTCGGATAGATGATACAGTACGCTCACAGTCAGAATGCCTGTTTTTCTAGGTTATTTTGGAGCCGCAAAACCAGCTATAATTGAATAAATGGAAGGTAGAGTCGTTTAAAGTCAACATTTCAGGCAAAGCAATGACATATCCATAGAAACAAGCAGGTGACGGACCCCCAAGCAGGTGACGGAGGGGTTAGATGTGTTTACCATTGACTATAATGATGCTGCCGTTGGTCGTGATTGTGTTAAGCGTTCTTGCGTAGTAGTTCCAGCTGCAGAAGTACAGGTCCGTGTCGTCCACCTGCAGCCTGGAGATGGTGAAGTTGACCCTAAAGGTTTTCGCACTGGGTTTATCCAACTCGACCTCCATGCGCTGTTTGTATTTGAGGATGGTCTTCCTGCCGATTGCATCATTTTCTAGAGCAAGGAAGATTACGTTCTGATGATCAAAACGCCGATCTAGACCCACTGTCAGAACTCCCTCGGCTGTGATGGAGCATGTGATCTTGACAGACGAGTTCAGCCTTAATTCTGTGATGGAGGCCGGGGTCTGTGCCGCTGCAGGATAATGGATTACAGTATGTGAGAAAAAGTACAATAAATAGGCTAAACTTTGTAATGTACTAGAAGATGGACCTTGAGTAGGGGTCTAGGGTTTTTGGATTGTGGACAGTGAACACCCACCCCCTGGTTCCAGAAGTAAATTTCCCATACAATTTTCCCGTAGAGTATCCAAAAAAAAAAGTTAAAAGTTTGAAAGCACACTCAGTTTTATAATGAATCAGTTTAATATTTGCATTTTTCAGAAAGTCTATGGGAAAAATGTATGGGGAAATTTACTTCTCAGTGGTATTTGGCAAACAAATGCTATAAACATTGCGACAAATGTTACGTGATTTTATTATGTCACATTTTAAAAACACAATAAAATGATGCAACTCACTTTGAAGTATTCAGATTACAGTACAGTACTAAATCGGTCCATGTTATAAAATACATTTTGATGCATGCATTCAATATTTTGTAACTGTGACAGATTTTCAGAGTATTCTTCCCTACAATTGTGGCACCTACAGGTCAAGTTACAGGTCAGATCTGTGGAGAGGCAACACTATAAGGATGCATGATTTTCAAGGTGTTTTGCAGTAATTCAGAAAATGCAAGAAAATTAAGTAGTAAAGTAAAGCACAGTAGTAAAGAGTAGAGTAAAGTAGTAAAATAGTAGAGTAAAGTAGTCACGTAGAGTAAAGTAGCAAGGTAAAGTAGTAGAGTAGAGCAAAGTAAAGTAGAAAAGTAAAGCATTAAAGTAGTAGAGTAAAGTAGTAAAGTAGAATAAAGTAAAGTAGTAGAGTAGCGTAAAGTAAAGTAGTAAAATAAAATAAAGTAAAGTAGCAAAGTAAAGTAAAAAATTATGGAACCCCTTGAAAATAGAATTAAAACTTTGTTCAAATATACATGTATTCAAAAGGGCAATTAAAAAATTCATTATTTCAATATACTGTGCGGAAGAAATTAGTGCTTTATAGGTATGCATGGGTATGTATATGTGTATATAATGTGTATGTAGGTATGTATATATTATATCTGTGTATATGATGTGTACTATATCTGTGCACATAATATACATATATTTGTTGTTGTTTGTTAGATTTGTAATGCAATGCAGGTAATGTGCAATTATTGCTTATAATGTACAGGAAATGAGAAGTCTGTATGTGTTCTTTGTTAATTTGGGACGGTAGAAAAAAGAGGTGGGGTTAAATAAGTATTTACTTCCTCCCTTCCTATTATAGAATAGAAATAGTTACTTTTTGTGTTATATCTATGTATTTATGTTTTTTTTAATTTATGTTCTATGTATTACTGTCCGAATAAACATTCATTCAAAGTACAGTACAGTACAGCAAAGTAAAGTAGTAGAGTAGAGTAAAGCATTAAAGTAGTAGAATAAAGTAGTCACGTAGAATAAAGTAGCAAAGTAGTAAAGTAGTCGAGTAAAGCAGTAAAGTAGAATAAAAGTAAAGTTGCAAAGTAAAGTAGTAGAGTAGAGCAAAGTAAAATAGTAAAGAAGAGTAAAGTACAGTAAGAAAGTAAAGTAGTAGAGTAAAGTAGAGAAGTAAAATAAAGTAAAGTAGCAAAGTAAAGTAATAGAGCAAAGTAAAGTAGTAAAGTAGAGTAGAGTAAAGTAGTAAAGAAGAGTAAAGTACAGTAAGAAATTAGAGTAAAGAAGTAAATGAGTAAAGTAAAGCAGTAAACTAAAATAATAAAATAAAGTACAGCAAACTAGTAAAGTAGAGTGAACAATCTCCACCAGAAAAGTTTTATTGTGCTCCTTTAAATCATTTTTGTTTTTGTGAGTTCAATTCTGAAAATTTTGTGGAAAAGTAAAATTTTGCATCTTTAATATAGATTTAAAAATTAAGTGTGTTACAAGCACAAGATAATCTGTTCCGATGTTAGTTAGTTAAGAAAGTTTTTGCATGTTTTTTCATTTAAATATTGACCAAAGATTCAAACCCAAACCTCCTGCATTCAGAAATATTCTTCCTTGAAACCTGATGCTGTTTTGCACTCACCTGTTGCACTGTTTGCCATTCCCTCACACACAGGTATGCAGAGCAGCCCCAGCACACATCCACACCACAGGGCCTTCATGGTGCCGCCACTGAGTCTCTAGGTGCAGGTCTTCAGCTGGAGCTCAAACAAGTAAAAAAAACAAAACGTTCTCTGAAGTATAAGAAAGTCAACAGGAAGTGACACTAGAATGCTACTATGATAACAGGATACATACAAGCTCTGAGAGGTAGTTCAACCTCTGATGGCTCAAACCTAAATAACATGAACTTTAGACTGTATGTATGTACTGCAGAGGAAGGGGTGGCTTAATAAAAATGTTCTTAAATGTTGCAGGTTGCATCCATGCTCTAGACTTTCACACGGAGATTCACTCTATCAGAGATTCACAGTTTATGAACCACAAATACTGAACCTCATCATGAGTTCAGATTTGCTCCACAAACATCTCATATGAATCAAGTCTTGGGTGTTGAAGAAATGCACCATATTGTGAAAGCATACAGTAATATCCATATTAATTATACTGACTTGTGTTTTAAGACCTGCTGAAATTATGTTCTTGGCAACATCCTGCTTCAGTTTCCGTCACGGCTTTGGCTAAGAAAAAAAAAATAAAGAGAAAAAAATGTTTTGGTATGGAAAAAAATTGAATTCTAGTCAAATGAAGTAGTAAAGTAGAGTAGTAATGTAGAGTAAAGTATCAAAGTATCAAGTAAAGTAATGTAGAAAAGTCAAGTTAAGTAGTAATGTCGTGACGCAAAGTAAAGTAGAGTAAAGCCGTTTCAAGTAAAGTAAAATGAAGTTGATTAAAATAGTAAAGTAGTAGATTAAAGCAGTTTCAAGTAAAGTTTAAAAAAGTAACAATCGAAAAAAGCTTGTTGTTGTTGTTTATTTGTGTTTTTATTACACCAACTATTTGTTTTAACATTAAACACATGGGAAAATAAAATAAACGCAAAGTGCTGCTTGGTAATACTAATAAGTTAAATAAAAAATATTCTCAAAGCAAGAAATAAAAATACATAAATTCCTTGTAAACAGTAAAACAAAACCAGAACTTTTTAAACAGTAAAGTGCAGCACTAACAGTTCCAGCATGAACTTTTATTCAATCTTCATATTTTTGGCCAGAAAAAAGAATTTGTCAACAGCGTCTGCAGCAAGTGCACACCTGCTGACAGGGAAGAGGGGCGGAGCTTCTGTGCGGGCGAAAGGCGAGAGTGAGGCCCGCCGCGCGACGAGTCACGTGGTTCGGAGGGACGTAGTCAAGGGGAGGGGCGGGGTTAAAGCCTAACTATATAAAGCAGGAAACACTGGCCAATCACGGACGAGTTTCCTTATGAATATTAAAGAGTTGAGCTACACGGAAGACTTTTTAGTGTAGTGGCTGAATGTAAACACACATACATTGCGCGAACTCACACGAACATCCCGTACCGAAACGCTTTGGCACAGATCCATGTACCGTCCCAGCCCTGTCTGTGAGCACAGTGCGGGTCTGTCTCTGTGAGCTCCACCTTGACCATCAAGTTGTCATAAAGTCTTATCAGAAACGTTATAAAGTCACACAGAGCAGCACACACTGGCGGAGGTTTAGCTCAGTGGTTACTTCTCGTATTCCAACGATCCGCTCCACAGGTCCGCGGGCCCCGGGGTTCGAACCACGGGCATTGTCCTCTGCTTTTGTAGAGTTTCAGCTCAAAGAAATGTGTAATGTCCTTTTGTAAATGTGTGTGTGTCCAGAGGAAAGTAAAGCAGTAAAACAGAGTAAAGTGAAGTAAAGTAGAAGTAGGGTAATGTAAACTAGAAAAGGGTTGTACCAAAGACCAAAGAAGAATAAAATTTAAAAGTAAGGTAAGTAGCAAAGTGCCGGGGTCCAAGCCACAGCCACTGTCTTGTGCTTTTGTTTTTTTATTTTTTATTTTTCCAAATATTTTCATTAGGAACATTAACAGAAAATATGCAATGAAATATACAGTTAAGTTGTCTTTTTTTTCCCCTCCAATGCACACGCACAGTGTAGTAAAACTGCATAAAATACAAGCATCAATAATATACATGTACAGAAAATGAAATAATAGGAATTTTTTTCTTTTTCATAAAGAACATCCCCATCCCAAGCCATCTCAACTCGTCGTTAAACCTCATATATAGCACCATCAACTAAATATTAAATACTCCAAATGACAAAAACAACAGGTTACAGTTACAACTACAACCAGTGTTGGAGAGTAACAGATTACATGTACCAGAGTTACGTAATCAGAGTACATTATACAGCGTTTTTTTTTCCTGTTTTCACATTTTGGGCTATATCCTTTTCGTTTTTTTTTCTTTTTTTTTCGGTAATTCCACTCATTGCCGGGACACTAAACCAGGTCTAAACCAGGTCTAAACCCAGGTCCAAACCAAGTCTAAATCAGGTCTAATCCAGGTCTAAAACCAGGTCTAAACCAGATCTAAACCAGAACTAAACCAGGACTAAAACCAGGTTTAAACCAGGTTTAAGCCAGGACTAAAACCAGGTCTAAATCAGGACTAAATCAGGTCTAAACCAAGACTAAACCAGAAGTAAACCAGGACTGAACCGAGACTAAACCAGGTCTAAACCAGGAATAAACCGAGACTAAACCAGGTCTAAACCAGGACTGAACCAAGACTAAACCAGGTCTAAAACCAGGTCTAAAGCAGGTCTAAACCAAGTGCATTTGATCATTATTATAACAATTCACGATTAGCCAACAAATGATTAACTATTTGTGAAAGAATAATCCATAATTCATAATTCTTATGTGTAAATGTGTACAAGTCAACCATTTGGACACACTTTTTATTTCATGTTTTTTCTTTATTTCTATGATTGTTCATATTGCAGATTCTCACTGAAGGCATCAAAATGATAAATGAACCATAGACTGCATAAAGAAGTGGACTGAGGGAGTGTGACATCGCCCACAGAGTTCAGCGGCGCTCAAATGAAGCTTGTGAACATTTACAGAGGCAAATTTGAAGCCATGGCTCTATCTTATGATTTTTTTAACAGACACCAGGACCACCAGGATGTAGAGCGGGTTAATACGAACATTTTAGGATCAAAATGACGAGGCTCATGGCAGCGGTAACAGAGAGAAGAGCCACAATATTCCAATGTAAGAGCCAGAGTCAGAAGGAGCCGGAAGAGCTGCATGGGAACTTCTTGTGTCTATTTATGCATACAGTCTATGGAATGAACATATATGGAAAAATAAACAATAGTAACAATTGTTTCAGATGTAACAATAACTGAAATATTGTGATATAGTATCGTCAAAAGTCTCACAATAATATCGTGGGCTGTCACAATAAATCAAATTACAAGTTCCTTTGCTTAAATGCATGGTTTTATAGTAGCAACAGCTTATAAACATATGGAACTACATATCCCATGATTCATTTCAGTGCAGACAACATGAAGAAATATGGTTCTTACTTGAATTCTTGGGATTATGAAGGTTATAATTCACACCAAAATCTTGTCAAGGTATTTTAAAAAGCAAAAAAGTGTCCCATCTACAATTATATCCCAATAAATATCGTACCGTGAGATTTGGATATCGTTACATCTTTAGTAAACAAAAAGTGTGAAATAACTCAAAAAATGTTTGATATTTTAGATTCTTCAAAATAGCCTTTACCTTTTGCTTTGGTCAGTGGTTTGTAGTGCTTTCGACAAAGCAAAGAAGGCCAAGTTTGAGGAATCGGAACATAAAATACAGCATATAATAAGTTATTTAGAGTTACTGAACATTTTTTTCTTGACTTGTTGCTTGATATATTTGATGCTTTGCTTATACAAAGTAAAAAAAACAAAAAATAAAAACACCAAAAAAATCTCACAGTAGCCTAAAAATAAAACATAATATTCATTCAATAAAAAGGTATGTGTTGAGTTACATATATTTACAAGTCAAAGTTATTATTAGTGCTATTGTTTTCACAAATCGTGTTAAAAACCAGCTAACACAAACAGCTAGTGTGGCTAAGTATTTATTTGCTACAACAGGCTGCTGCTTATTGTTTCAGTTTAAACTCAGTTTGAATGCTGATACATACACAGTGTATTCAAGGTCGCACAAACCTAAGCATATGTACAGGAAATTATTTACATTTGCATTGTGTTTGCATAAGTCATTAACCCTTCCAGACCTACGAGCAATTTTAGTATATTTGTTGTTGAAAACAAAGTTTCTATTTGACACTCGTCATCACGCAGCGTGTGTGTGATGTAGGATAATGCCGAAAATATCATCAGAAAGTCGCAACTCTTAATTTTTCAATTAAAAAAGTAAGTACGTTTCTATCTTTTATGGTTGGTAAGTTATGCGCGGTTATGTAAAACACATTCCCAGATCATCATATACCATACCTTTCGGTCTGGAAGGGTTAATATAAAATAATTGCAATGACAAGAGAACCAAAACACCAGATTATAACATCCACCTCTTGTCCATCATGTCCAATGTAAAAAACAGCTTTACAATTTACAATCAGTAAAAGCTTGGACATATTTACCTCATATCTAGGACACAGTTAGGTCATGTTTATGCCCCTTAAAATCAAACTCTTGCATGTGGTTCCTATAAGGGATGTCTTTGCACAAAACTAACAAATATTTAACTAGACAAAAGAAAAATATTACGAATGTACTCATATCTGTGGAGCATTGCTTGTCACAGTGAAGAGCTTCAGAGTTGTGAGTTCGATTCCTGGACCAGCCAGAGTTCATAGGTCATAGATCATCTAGCCCCTACCTCAGGGTCTGTAAGTCTGTATCCTTTGCGCCGTTTATATATAAGTGTTCCCACCACACCTATGAATACTACTATTATTAATGCACCACTCCCCACCCCCAAGGCTGATCCAATCATCTTGGAGCTCTCTGATTGAGCTGTTGCTGGCATGTTTTCCTGAGCTGTTGAGAAAAACAAAACAAAACATGAATTTAGACTTTTGAGCCAAGCTTTGAAACAGATTTAAAACAGAAATTGTATTGTACAGTAGTTATAGTATTTAGTTAAGTTGAAGGAGCCATATGACACAATTTTCTGATCTGTGTTCTAATGTTGTTTCCTCATCACAAACAGACCTGGAGTTGTGTTTTGTTTCATTCACACATGTTTAACACACAAACCCCACAGATTTACACTGAGTTCTTCTCTCAAACTGAAAACACTCTGTTCTACCTTGTGATGTCAT